TTTATTGAAATTTTACTCCTTTTTTTTTGTTTTTTATTTTTATTTTTAATTTCATTGAAATGTTTTTTACTCGAAATTGAAGTAAATTCAAATCTCAATACAATACAAACGTATAAACGCATTTATCATAATTAATATAGTTAGTTGGTAATTGTATTTGGTTAGACAACGTTTCACAAAACACTTATAGCTTAATGTTTATTTGTTTTTTCTCTTTCTTTCTTTTTAATATAATGCACAACAACAATGTACTTTGATTTATTTGTTATATATTTGTTTTTATTTTGTATTGTTTCAGTTAGTTTCTAGTTATTGCCAAGTACTTGAACTAACACTTAAAGCATTTCAACTCATTTTTGATTACACATTGCACATTCGTTTGATCATAAGTATAATACCCTATAATATTTGTTTTTTTTTTGCTAGGCAGGTAACAAAGAACTTTCACTGGGCAGCCCCTCCCTCACCCCAACAAAAAAAAAAAACAATCAGAACAAAAAGGAAATTGTCAGTTGCTGCTAGTTTTAAACATTTAGAGCTACGTAAGTATAAGCTATGGCAAATCATGTATATCAAGTCACAAATATATATTTATATATGTATAAATACAGAGTATGTATAGTCTAATATATAGTGTGTTCCGCTGGTGGCATACAAAAACGCGTGTAAAAGCCTTGGACGGAAAATGTAAAGCTTCGCTGATTATCTACTCTCTTTTAGGATCAGGAACCAGCTGCAGTTGCACTTCAAGTACGAGTAACTAATGTGTGGGGCAAGTAGTCAGCGGCACGCTAGTACAAAACTTTTACTCTACAACATCCAATCAAATTTTGTTAGCTAGTCTTTTTTGGCTGAGTCTTTCTTTGTAGTGTTTTTCTTTTTAATTATTTCTATTGCACCTAACTAGATTTAAGATCACTCAACTTACAATTAGTATAAGATTAAAAAAATTAATAAAATATATAGCTCTGACAGCTACACTTAGTTACTTTTGAGCAGATCTGTAAAGCATTTATCATTAGGCCAAAACAAAGATTATTACATATAGAATCGATTGGCTTTAAAAATATAATTTTATATAAAATTGAAGTATTTTTAAAAGTGATTTTATGATAAAACAAAATTTAAATCCAATGATACTTGTCACTTGGTACAAATATTAGGCATATTCGCGCTTTTTTAAAGGGCAAAAAGTCAAATTATATATAAAAATCAATATACTTTTCATTAAGTTCAGGGCATAACTATTACCCAAAATTATTTTTGAAGTTTTCAAAAAAGATTTTGTATAAATTTTCCATTTTTATTTATATTTTGTAAAATGTCCAAAATTTTGAATTTAAAAAAAATATATATATAATTTTTTTTATATAAACTCAAATTTCCCATAAAAAATTTGCTAAAAAATTGCGTAAAAGGAATTTAAAAAATCTCTATTTAAGAAAAATCTAATTTTAATATACAATTTATACATTAATTAAAAATGCTTAATCATTTAGTTATTAAAAAAAAATACTTTTATGAAATATGCCTAGGGACATGCCTTGCCAATGAGTAGATCACACAAAAAATTTGTAATTACAAAATAGTCTATAAATATTAAGTGGTAATATGAAAATACCTCTCAAATAAAATTCAACAATTCAAAAATATTCTCTAACTTTGCTAGTATTTTAAAAATACTTCTAAAATGAAAATGTTTTACAGATCTGCTCTATGAATACATATATATATATATATATATATATATATATATAAGCTATATATATATATAAGCTAGGCACACCGAAACTAGAGACACAGACTGCTGCCAGCCTCACTTAACTGTATTTTTGTAAGATAAATTCAAAAGATTTTTTGTTTGTTTGTTGAGCAACAGCAAATTGAAATAAAAAAAAAGAATCGAATTATTATGCAGCAGCCATAATAAAATACAACTGCTGAGCGGGCGAGCATTCAAAGCAAAGCGAGCAGCAGCAGCAGCAGTAGTAGCAGCAGCAGCAGCAGCGCAGCTGTTGTAGGTGGCACCAATGAATGCGTGTGAAGCTAAATGGGCGTGGTCGAGATGAGAAGGACATGCCACAACCGCAATTGTAGTACTACTCAGAGATGGTTGATCTTGCGCCACTGCTTCATCACAAAATTACCGCAACACCAGCTGCCCGATTGCCGTTTCGTACCGTCCGCATTCAGCTCCACCTGTGTGGCACGCCCCTGGCTGGCGCTTCCGTTGCGCAGCAGCGCCGTACAGCCATGCTCTCCACGCTCGCCATCACTCTCATCCGAGCGCTCGCCACCCGCTGCCAGCTGTGGTGTGCTGCGTTGCAGCGTGCTTGTGCGCAATGCTCCGCCACAGTTCATCAAGTATCCGCCACCGAAGCCCGCATAGCGATGCGACGTGGACGTCTCAAAGGAGCGATTCAGGCGTCGGTCGTAGAGACCGGGATGCACAGTGCCATCCGGATTTGGTTTCACAATAGTTGTCTGACCCGAGCCCCGCTGATAACCCTGCTGAGCCAGCAGCTTGGGCGACGGCTTGTTCTTGCGCGGCAGCAGCGGCGAGGTGCAAACGTTGTCGTAGCCCGAGCCGAAGCCGCTCTTCAGGCGATTCAGAGATTTGCGTGTGGCACGCTCTTCCGACAACGCGCGCTGATAATCCTTAATGCCAGGCCCACCAGCTACCGCACCCGGTCCCGTTAGCGAGTAGCGTTGACCAGGTGTATTTAGGGAGGAGCCCACCGAACTGGAGTACAGATTGAAGCTATTCGGACTTGCCTCACGCCAAATGAAGGAGGAGTTCAGACTGCCCGCCGAGTGTTGACGTGTTTGTTGCAAATGCTGTTGTTGCTGTTGATGATGTTGTTGCTGTTGGTGTTGTTGTTGTTGTTGCTGCTGTTGCAGTGGCGTTAGGTGCGGCGCATTAGCCACAAAAGGCAGCTGCGGATTGGAGGTCGAGAAGGTTTTGCTCGTTTTCAACTTGCCACCGCGTATAGGCAAACAGGGCGTCCACGGCTGCAAGGCTATATAGTTGAGGTATTTAGAGTTCGTTGGGCAGAGGCGCGTGAAAGACAAAGAGAGAAAATGAAGATATTTGAAGAACGAAAAACGAGAAACGACAACCAACAACGACAACAAGAACAACGAAAAGCCCAAACACAAAAACAAATTTATAAAAAAAAAAAAACAAAATAGACGAACAACAATACATTGAATCAAGCCAGGGTAGGTTGTCGGAGTGTGTTTGTGTGTGTGTGTGTGGAGAGAGAGTGTGCGTGGATGAACATTAAACCAAGACCAATTTTAATAAGGTAAATAAAAGCAGGACAATAGTTGATAAAGCGGGTTTTTGCGAGGCAAATAGAGGTAAAACCATAACCAAAAGATAGCTTACAGGTAGGCCAACGAAACTGAACTAGGAGGACGGGAGAGATTAGGGTCAGCGGAAACTAAATTTGTATAACTTGTAATTTTGATAAAATCTATAGGGCGCAACTAAAAGATATTTCTAATAATGATATGAAGAAAGTGAATCTTCAATTTCTATTTTTCCCTTTCGCTATGTAACAATAAATTATACTGAATATTTATAGTCAACTTTAGATTTTAGCTAATTTAGCGATTCAGATGTTAAAAATAAAATATGTTAATATTTTAGAATATATCGAATATTATTAAAATTAAGTAAAATAAAATGCTGTATTAAAAATATGAACATGAGTTCAAACTTTAAAATGTAACTCATTGATTCACGAACTGAAAATATCTTTGAGTTCGAATCATGATTTATGCCATGATTTCTATATATAACTCAGAAAACTATATAAAATATCACTCTTCGAAAATCTTCATGAAAATGCGCCCAGCTACGGTACAACTATGTAAGCCTTAAAGATAATAATAATGATAATTGTAATGATAATGATAATAGTAATGACAATGAACAATTATTTTCCTCTTGAAATGAACAACAATAATTGAAAGTAAATTCAACCAAGTTTTACATAAATAAATCGGTAAATTTAAACAAATATATTAGGTATATATTTTTTATTATGTATGAATATATATGTATATAAGAGACCAAAATATATTAGCATATATATATAGATATATATATTAATATATTTCTTGAATACTTCATTTAATCCAATTTTAATGAGCGCAACTGCCAGATTTCTTAACAAATACAACATTTGTAACAAAACTCATAAAAAATTAACAACAAAAAATATAATTAAATCAAATCTTTAGTTGTTACAGTTAAAATGCGTTGGTTCTTAAGTGATATATCTATATTATTTTTCCAATTGTTAAAATTAAAAAAAAAAAAATAAGTTAAGCAATTACGCATTATTTATGGTATTTGTGAAGAAGTTTTAATTAGACAGCTCTACAATTTTTTATATTTCTTGTTAAACAATTTTTTTCTTATAAACTAATACAATTTTGGTGTAAGAATTCTTGTTTATTTTATTTTTATTTGATTTTTTTTGTATATATTTCTTTGTGAAACGTTAAAAATGAAACCAAACCAACAAATGTAATAATAAAAATTTATCAAATTTTTTTTTGTTTTCTTTTTTTTTAGCAGCTTTGTACATTTAAGTGTGCGTGTTTTCTGTGTGTGTGTTTCGAGTGTGTGTGTGTGTGTATGTGAGGTAAAGCATTTTTTATTTGGCTACAAAACTTTCTTAATGATTGGAGAGGGAAAATAAACTTAAAAAGAAAAACTTGAGCACAAGTGCGAAAAAAAATAAGTAGACACACAGAAAATTGTTGTTGAGAATGCCTTCTTCTATATAAAGCACATGGGAGATCGGCGGTACTTACCCGAGTGTATGGTATTCCGGGCGCTGTTCTGATAGGCGGCACAGTAGCCCTCGAAGACGCGCAGCACTAAGGCATCCTCCTCGAATGTCGGCTGATTCTTGCGACCGCTGCAATAGCTGGCCAAGGCGTTGTTGGAGCTGCCTGAACCAGAACCGGCACCGGAGCCGGAACCGGAATTGGAGCCGCTGATTGTGTTTAACAAGCTTGGCCGCAACGGCGGCGTCGGACGCAAACAGCTGATGGTCCAGTTAGCTGGAAGAAAAGAGAGATATATAAATATAGCAAAGAGCAAAAAAAGGCTAGTTTTGGCGGAGAAACTGTGTAAATTGTTTGGTCGATTGACTTGACTTTTTTGGATACTTGTAATACACGATTTTCTTTTCTGTATTAAAAAAATATCCAGTTCATATTTATAAATTTTTTTTGTAAGCATAAAAATAGCTAATCATTAATATACAACTGCTAGAAATCCCGCTATACACTTTTAGCTACATTATGTCTGCTCAGCAAGCTAGATTTGGCTTTAAAATAATTATTTGGGGAACATTAAATTTAATCTGCCCAGCAGGCTACATTTGGCTTTAAAATAACTATTTAGCCAACACCGACTATGGACTTACCCTTTGTGCTTCCTTTCTTTGCGTTTGGCGCCGCCGTTGCCACTGCCGCTGCTGCTGCTGCCGCTACCGCTGCTTGGATGGCCGCTTGGCTTGCTTCCGTGCCCGCTGCTGTCTTGCTGCTTGGTGTCTGGACTAAATTTGATTTGTGGCTTAACTGCCCCAGATGACTTGGTAGACTTGGTGGTTGTGGTGGATGCAGATGATGTTGTGGAGGCTGAGTGTGCGTGTACTGGTTGTAGCTCAGATGATGATTGAACGAGAGGCTCCGTTTGTGTTGTGACATCGCTGTGGCTGCTGCCGATGCTGCCGCCGAGCCCGCCAACTGTTGCTGGCTGTTGCTGTTGCTGTTGCCGCTGTTGTTGTTGTTGATGTTGTTGCAGCTGCTGTTGCTGATGCTGCTGGGCGTCTGATTGCGACTGCCGGGCGGCAGCAACAGGCTGTGCGTCGATGGAGGAGACATCTGAAATAAAGCGAACAGAAAACAGTTTATTATTATTATCTCATTTAGACTTAAGTATTTCAATGATATATGGAACTTTAGTTAGTTTTGATTAAGAAATACTTGGCAACTGACAGCAACTGCGGCAGCAGCAGCAGCAGCAACAATTGCTATAAACATCAACAAAACAACAACAACAGGCTGCAGTCCTGTGGGCAGCTAGCGAGCAAAGCGCAGCAAGCAAATCAAATCGAATGAGTTTGTTTCGTTTTTTAAATCATTTTATCAATTTTTAATTTGTTTCTATTTTTTATTTTGTGTTGCTGGAGCGTTAGATAAATGTTTTGTAAATCGTTTTTTTTTTCTCAAATCGAATTCAAACGTTTTTGGTGTTTGCGTTCTTGGTTAGTGGGCGCAACGTTTGCAATGTGGGTGATTGATGGGTTGGGGTGCTGACGAACTAGTTCATTAGAGCACACAAAATAAATATATTTAAATACATAATGTACTAAGAAGTGCTGGCGAACTAGTTCATTAGAGCAGCCCAAATAAATAGATTTAAATACATAATGTATTAAGAAGTATTGGAAAATAAACTAGTTCTTTATGTAAATTGTTCATTTGAACGAGTTTGACTTTTGCACTCAATGCTTGCAAGATGTTACTCTAATAATTATTTCTTGAATATAAGTTGGAAAAGGAACTAGTTCAAGAGCTGCTCATTTGAACTAGTTCGAACTCTAAACACAATATGTTCAAACTTTTTATAATTAACAAAATACGAGTTCTTTTAAAATATTCTATGTCTAATTAAGCACAGTTCATTTGATCTAGCTCAATTACCCAATTTAATGGAGTAACAAAAACATTGGAGGGCACAAACATAGGTCCCAGCTTATTATTGAACTAGTTCAGTTTCTCATAACTTCACATTAAATCATATTATGAAACAGCTATTTGAACTAAATGAAATAGTTCCGTAAACTCCAAATTGAAGTAATCCTAAATAAATTCCAATCGAAAGAAGATATTCATTAACAATATAAGAAGGTTAGTCAAATGCATGTTTGAATGACTGAATGTTTCGACTGAGTTTAAAGCGATTTTGTTCAAATGAACTTAAAATGATTCAGAAAGGAATTTGGTTTTTGGGCGTGCTGCATTTGCCAAATTGAATGCTTGAATTAGAAGATGATGATGTGATTGGAAACGTGAGCAAAACGAATTTACAAAACAATCAAACGGAACACGTGCACGTGAAACAAACGTGCGCCATGCCACATGCCACCTGGAGATGTGGCAGATGACACTCAGACAAAGAAGTGTATGTAACTATTCCAGGTGGCATGGCCGGCGTCTCACTTCGTTTTGGCTTGCCTTCTTCGGTTGCTAAAGCTACGCGTGCCGCACAAATGGGACAATCGAGCGACAACGAATATGATGGCTTCGCCGCAGTGAAGGCTTCCCGTCGTCGCTGAGCTCCAGTTGGATTGAGATCCATATCCTCGCTGCACACCGGACAATTGGAGCAGATCGAGGCGGTTGTGGTGGTTGTATTGGTGGTGCCAGTGCTGCTGCCCGCATATTCACCACAATTGTCACAAAGGGCACAGTAGCTGGCGCCCTCGCTGAAGCCGCTCGCTCCCAGCGAGCAATAGCAGCTGGAGCAGATGGAGTTGGTAGAGCAGTTGGAATCCTTGCTGCCGCTGGCCGTCACCGAGGGCAGACGCTTATTGTATGCGCTCGCTATGCCGCGCAGCACCTCCGGCGGCAGGCGTTCCTTCTTCCACCAGTGCGCATACATGCCCGATCGAAAGGTGGGCCGAGGGTCCATGTGCAGCTGATCTGCGGAGCAGCTGCCGCTAAATTTTAGACCATTCGCTGTGGCTATGGGCGCGGCTTCATCCATGGAGCTGGAGGCCAGAAAAATACTTTTTGTATTGATTTGGAATTGTGCACCCGATTGATTGGTGGGCGCGGTTGGCGAGTCCAGCGCTGGCTCCGGCTTCGGTTCATTCTGTGACTCCTCTTCCTTCTGCTCCTCCTGCGTTTGCTCAGGCGTTAGAAACTTTTCACGAAACATACCACACACATCAAAACGCGGCTCTGGCTCCACATTATCGAGCACATCCACGCCGCAGCACTCGACATTGGGCGGATCCGGTGAGGCTATCGTGCAGCTGCCTGCCATGCCGCTATCACTGGAACGCGGACTGGGACACTGCGAACTCTCACAGCATCTGCACTTGCACTGACTATGCAGCGCCGGCTGCTGATCCCGTCGTCCAGCACCCGGCGGTGCTGGCGGCGGTGGAGGCGGTACAGCTGAACGATTGTTCATCTGCAGGAATTGATAGCTGATGCAGCGTCTAATGGAATCCCGTTTGACCTCTGGTCGATTGGCTTCGATGCACAGCTCGTTGTTAGAGTTGCTGCGTACCGCTGGCGGCTCACTACGTGGATTGCCCGTGCTGGGGCTGTCGCTTTTATGCGATGCGCGCTGCTCGACCGCCTGGTCGTAGTTATACAGGAGTTCCGCCTGTAGCTGATCTGGCGCAGCTAGGCATGCAGCTGGTAAGTCCATTGTGCTGGAGTGCACGCACTCATCCTCCTCGTCGAGCAGAGGGGCATCCACGCTTTGATTCTGCTGCTGCTGCTGGCGTTCCCGCCAGGTGGGCACATAGACCTCAGTATCGGCGCAACGATTGAAGCGATTGCCCACAAATATGCTGGGCATGCTGTGCCGTTCGGTGGGTGAGCCGGGCAGCTGGGCAGTAACGGCTTGTGGCTTCGCCTTCTCCTGGCTGAGATCATCATGAATGCTGGCCAAATTTTCACATGCCATAAAAGCGCCACCCAAACGAGCGCCATACAACGAGCTCGCATCGGAGCTTTGTTGCTGTAGAGTTGAAGGTTGTGAAAGCGGCTCGACAAGCTGCTCCAGCTCCTCCTCCACCTCCTCTTCTAAGCAGTTGGTTATGCTGGAGCCACCCAAGTTGATGGTAGCCGTTGACGTATGTACGCTGGAGTTGCGTTCAGTGGATTTGCGTGCCAGCGCACGCAACGCCTTGGAACCAATCACAAGCGACTCCTTCTTAAGCTCATGCTGCACCAGCAGCTCATCCGCATCAACGGAATCTAGTTTGATTAAATTTATGGACGAGCTGTGCCGCTGTGCATGCTTCACAAAAGTGCCCGTGGAATTGCATGTGGATTCAACAGGTCTGTGCTGATAGAAGCGCACATATTCAAACGGATCCGAGTCACAGCTGTGCAAATAGTCATTGTCATACTCATCGTCATAGCTCTCTGAATCTGTGGGCAGCTCGAAGGCGTCCTGACGCTCCAGCTCCGACGAGGACATTATTGACTCCTGCCTATTGGCATTGATATCTTTGAGCAACTTGGCAGCTTTGTGACAGCGCTTTTTGCGCAATGCAATCCGCTTGAGATCGATGCTCTGCCTCGCCTGTGGATAGAGAAGCATCTTAACTATCGCGCTGCGCAGGCGTCCCGCTTTGACGAGTCGTGCGAAATGCGCACTGAGATTGGTATACGGAGCCGTCGGTGGATAACTGCTGGGCGGCAAGGTGAGCCGGAGTGGGGCATGCTGCAACGGCTGACTGTAGTAGGCGCACAGCGAGAAACGTGTGCAATAGCCGCGCGCATCCAGATGCTGATTGAGCTGCTCAGTTGCCAAGGCACAAAGATGTGGAACAGTAATGAAAGCTACTACATTATCTATGTTAAGCAACGTTTTCAAATGAGCTTGGCAAAAGTTCTTGATGAAGCCATTCTCATATGACCCTTTAAGAAACCCTGATAGACAAGGCCTGCCCCTTTATAAACTTGCCAAGCACAAGTGAGAACAGCTCTAAAAACTCAGTACTTACATGCGATGCATTCAGCTGCTGACCGCCCAGCGAGGAGTTGCTTAGATTGCTCAGCTGACGCTTTATGCCCATGGGCAGACTGGGATTGTTGGCATTGAGCAGCTCGACCCACTTGTTGGCCTCATTGGGACCCTGACAAACGGCCACAATGCGATCGATTAGTGGACTGCTTATCTCGAAGGCATTTTTGATGGCATCCGTATCCTCCAGGCGATTCACAATGATGCCCGTCAATGGCAATTTACCCTATTCGAAATAGTATTTATTAATTTATGCACATTGTTCATAGATCCAGGACTCACCTCATAGATGAAGGCGCTCATGCGCTGGCTCACGCTTAGTATGAGCAGCGTTTGTGGAAATAACACAAAGTAGCGATCGCGATGATCTGGGCCTACAGCCACGCTGCCCATGTGTATGATGTCGCCCAGTGTGCTCAGCTCCTGACCCTGCCAGTTGCGCACCGGCCCCGTCAGCACCTGCAGCTCGAGCTCCTTTTGACGACGCGTTGCCGAACAGGTGGCCGCAATATCCTTGTAGACAGCTACGCTGCGCTGTGTATCGCCGCGATCCGGATGGCTGCTCTCCATGTGACGTTCCAGCTCCTGCAGCATGGCCGAATACTTGTCCAGGCGGCGAAACGGCTTAGAAAGCCCGGTAGTTAATACTAACAGACCCGGCGAGGCAGCGCCCTGACGCTCCATATACTTCTCCAATTCGTCCCTACGTAAGAAATGTTTAGAAAGATCAGGTTAGGTTCAGGTCCAATCGTATAGCACCTTGACTCACTTATACTTATCCAGTATAACTATGGCCTTGGGATGTGCTGCACAGTAGGCCTGGTGCATTTTTTTCATAAGCGGCGCACTGGTTAGAAATAGTTTACCCACACGATCGTTGCACTCCTCAATCTGTGTGAGCAGCTCCTCGTGCGTGTGCACCACCTCCACAAAGTTACACATTAGCTGCGCGTACTCATCCTGGCTGAGTCTGTTGAGGAGAGCAAGAAAATGTAGTTTGGATTTTGCATAGGGAACGGACTATAGACTTACATTTGCGTCTGCTGCATGGGTTCAAGGAAATTCTCGAGCAGTCCTTGAAGCTCGGCCACATGCGCTCGCTCCGAATCGAGCAGATCCTTGAGTACCACGGAACGGTACTCCTGTATTTCCTCGGGCGGTCGTATGGTCTCGGCCAGCGGCAATTGGGCCTTGTACTCGTTCACATAGTTGCTGGGAAACCAGCCAGTCTTATCGTTCAGTGTGCCCTCCCACCAGCCGCCATCCTCGCGCTGTGTCACCGTGATTAGGTCACCCTTCTTGAAGCACAGCTCATCGTTGTTGCTGCCCATAAACGAGTATTCGGCTCTCACAATCAATGGTTGTTCCATTTCGCTTGCAAGTCCAGCCAACTCCCTACCAAAATCCTGCTCTCAAATTTCCTTCAGCTGAAATGGAAGATGATGAGATAAAGAGCTTAAAATCTTGCAGTTTTCGATGGTAATATAGTTTAATTAATTAATAATTTAATATAATATTCATTTTTTCATAAAGCTGAATTGAAAATTATAAAAAATATTTTTGTTTTTTTTTACTTAGAGCTACAATCGTGGCTTATTCATAGGCTAATCACAATCCATGTCTGGCATTAACTACAATTTTAAACATACGAATTGAACAGACCTCGTCAATGGAATCTTCAAATTGTAAAGCTGTTAGTATAAGAAAGAAATTCCAAACAAAATTGATAAAGCAATTGCTTTTAGTCCCCATAAAAGCCAAACACATTTTATACTCTATAAGATCATTGTCAATGTTTGTTGAACTTGAAAAGTCAGCGTGTGTGCACAACATGAAATTGTTCAATGAAAATTTTTCTGTAGACTCGTCACATATATCTATCAATTATCTATACTATATATATTTATATGTACATATATATATATATATATTTACGACGCCCACGCGAATGCGTTCTTCAATCCATTTCGTTTTTAGCGCTCACAAATTATTATTATGGCCAAAAGGCGTTTCGGAAAATAACATCTGTTTTCGTTTCGGCCCGAAGATCTCGTGTGGCAAAAAAATAAATACTTTCTTGACATTTTTTGTGCAATCTGGAAAACTCGTGAAATTGTTGGGAACGATCGATGGCCAAGGCCGGCGCCAAAAGGATTTTTTTTTTTTTGGCAATTACGATTACGAAATGTCGAATTGCTAAAAAGCAATAAAGAATGAAATGAATTATTGTTTTGCTTAAAAACCGTACATAAATCAAAAGCAACAGTAGTCAACTGAATGGCCATGTCATGGGTATCTCAAAGAAAACATTAATTTACGAGCGCACTGTTTACGATGTGTTCGAAAATTAACTCAAGCATTGTACACAAGATGATAAAATTTAATGGCCAAAAAAAGGATTGGGTGATAAAAACAAAATATGTTGAAGATAAACATGATTTCCTCATATGGCCTATTTTAATTGTAAGATAATACACGGCAATCACAAAAATCCATTTGCAGATTTATATCTTTATTCTAAAACATATTTTGTGTGAGGTTTTGGATAATATATTTTTATTTTCTTATTCCTTCCATCTTTTTGGGTGTGCATAATACTTTGATTAGATTAGAAGTGAGTGAAAAGGCAATAATATGATAATGTATAATTGTAGTTGGAATAGGAATGATCTTCTTGATACGTTGCTGTATTTTTAAAATTGATTAATGTAATTATAAGTTCAATTGATCTATGTAAGATATATTGATCCAACTATTAAACTATCAAATCTATGATTAAGATCTACTGATCTTCATATAAATTACATTTAGTTATTAAAATTATTAAAAGCTTCATGTATTAATTTGTATTATTATTAAATGTATTAATTTACATTATAAATATTGATCAAATGATCCAGCTGTTAGATATATTATACTCTATTATATTATATAGCTATATATCAAATATATTGAAATACATTTAAATTTTATTCAACTTTAAGCGATATTGAGCGACTTGCAAGATCTATAGGATTATCTATAAGATCTATCGATCCTTGATTATATATCAATATATATATGTATATATAGGAAGTATATTTATGTGGTTTATGAAAAAGCTTCTCAATCGCTTGTAGATAATATATCAATGTATACATTTCTAAAGTTTGTCACCAGAATATTCTACAGTTTCTATCAATTTCACTTATATATCATAAACAAATAAAACTAAATATTTATAAGAATGTGTGGGTGGCGCAAAAACAGGTTATGGTTAGATTTACGATTAAATGTTGACTTTCTTGTATGTCCCACAAATACCGTATCACATGTGCTCTACTTCTATTGAGATTAATCAAACAATTTTTATTTTATTATTGCCGCAATGAATAACCGCAAAAATATGAAAGAAAAACATGTTTTTCTCTCAGCTTTTTTTTCCTGTATTTTGACCATTAAGTTTCTCGCATCCAAAAATAACAGCGTAACGAAAATATATAAATCTTGATGTGCCGACTTTTTCCATATGCCAATGGAAATCAGGCGATATCTACATATGTATATATATTAATAGTGGCCCAGACACTTGCCAAAAGAAACACACATAAAATTGTTCCATTACAGGTATTAATAAAAAGTGTTTCATAAAACTTTTTGAATAGACTTTTGAGCCTCTTGCTGATGCTCGTTGTTGAGAGAAGATAATCTGTTAGACAAGGTCGTCTCATGAGAGAAAATTTTGAAAAAATTCAGCGTTTTTTTTTTTTTTTTTGTGTTTTTAATTTTTTACACACACACGCACATTTCTATGCACTTGTATTTGGCATATATATATATATATAGGTATAGCTCTTCCATATGCCTGTTCAACCATCAATTGTTGCACGATTCTTTCGCCGCTTTTCACTTTTGACTGCACCGCACGCGCTCATCGCTTCCACAAAACTGCGATGGCGGCATTTGGCGACAGCCACGGCCCACAAAATCCGTAAAAATGGCAACCCGAAATTTTTCACGGCTTTGCTCGTGTGTCGGTCATAGTGTTGCCAGTTCTGCATGAAATGTAGCCAATTTTTTACAAAAATAATTTTTTATACTTGATGTGTTTCTAATTTTTTAGTAAAAACTTATAAATTTATTTAATTTATTTATAGGCTTCAGTTAACTGTATATTTTGTATTATTTTTTATTTTAAAAATTGAAAATAAAAATCTGACTTTTTTATAAAAATAATTCAAATAATTTCGCATTAAAAATGCTTGAAGTTTTTTAATATAAAAGAGAGCATCAAACTAGTAATGTATAAATCTACATGTAAAATATAAATTACACACTACCATTTATTTTCTTAATAATAAAATGTATCCTTTTTAATAATACTAATCTGGCTTTTTTTTTCAAAAGTTACCAACACTGATTGTCGCACATACAAAGTATGCGGGTTGTTATCTCACGCTCTCTCGCTCTCGCTCTCTCTTAATGATCGCTCAGCTAAATACTTAACATTCTCAAAACATATATATAAGTGTATATAGCTAAATATCTACGATATAGTCATTTTGGCCGGATACAGCGCATATTTTCATGAAGAACACACAGAGAAGATGACAAAACGAGAGGCAATCAAAAACTGAAAAATTCGAACCAGCATCGGGTATTGGGGAATGCAAAGCAAAGGAAAAAAAGCACGCGCAGCTTGGTCCATAGCAGGGTATAGGTAAGCGGCGCATTCAATGTGACAATTTTCCATTTCATTGAGAAATATTGTCATGTTCTTTTTATTTATTTGTCTTTTGTTTAAAAAAAAAAAACAATTTGGTTAAATCATAAACAATATGGTCAAAACAGTTGGCAGTTCGCTGGGAAAATGCGTCATATTTATGAAAATTTTTAGTTAATCGTTTTAGAACATAAAAACGACACACAAAAAAAATGAAAATATGTGGAAATACTTTGTTATCGGAAATTCACCTGTCCCAATCAGTTTTATATATGTTTGTGCATGATTCGAATTCTAAAGTGGGAACAGTGAACAACAGGTTCGTATGGAAAGCAATAAAAAATGATGTTGATATGACATAATATTAAATTAACATCAAATTTAAGATAATATTATATTAACAAGTTACCTTTTAATAATTTTCTAAAGGAATTTAGTACGCCAATTAATTTGAAAATAAATAAGAAAACTCTAGTCGGATGTGATCGACTGGGAGATACCCGGAATTCCGGCGGATCCACTGTAACGATGCCAACAAGTCTCTAGCTTGGGCAGATCGACAGACAGATCAATTAGATCGACTCAGTTGTCACGTCTTCTTCTGCCTGTTTGATAAATTTTCAATGGATTCACAGTATAATTACCAAGATATTTTTATGCATATTAATTTTAAAGTATTTTTCAAGTATTTTAAAATTGTTACATCTTCAAAGCGTGAAAAATTCTTAACTTATGAAAGAATCTCGAAAATACTAAAAATTCCTATGCCAACAAGTGCTTTATAGAGAATATATTTCATTGCCTGCAGCAATATTGATCTCTTCAACCCACATGGACTATAAAAACAATCATAAATCGGTGCAAAGCCCAACCCTGAAATAGCATAACGTCCATGGCCGGGAGAAACAATCAGCAAACAAAAAAAATGTATATATATATATCTATATAAATTTCCGTAGGTTGAGCATATTGCAGCTCTCATCAATGTGCATGGCCGCCAGCGACAGTCAAAGTGATGCAAGCAGAGGTCATGCCCGATGCGCACACAAAGAGATGCCGTCGCAGTCGACGTCGCCGCATGCCAAACAAAATTTTAATTAATTCATTAAACTTGCACATGGCGCCGACGGAGATGGCAACATCAGGCAAAGCCACAGTCGCAGTTGCAGTCGCAGCCACAGCCAGCAGCAACAACAACAAGTTGTAAGAGGCGTCATTGAGTGCAATCAAAGCGACAAAAAGTGCAGCAACAAGCAAACAAGAATAATTATAATAGACTTGCAGATACCCTGGAAAAACAAACAAAGATCTAACAGCTATTACGCACTTCTATTGTATATAGAATATTTAAGTCTAGCAGACGTCACACATACTCTATAAAGCAAACATGGCTATTATAGTGATAAGTTGGCAATTGTACAACAGGTGAAACAATATACTAAAGAGTTTGAGTATATGCTCAAATCTAGCCTAGTCAGGCTTAAAATATACCCTAGATATAATTATAGCTTTGTTATCTTCGTGGCGATAGCGAGCGACTGAAGTCTCCGTAAACATACTTCAATTTGGCTGACTAAATATACTGCACAAAAAAATAAGATTGTTATCATTTTATTAACTTTCTACCAATACTTTGGGATTAACATATTTATTACAGCCAAGCAATTATTTAGTGTAGTGCTGCATTTAACTATGTCCAAGCCATACTATAGGGTATTGCATAGTCGTTATCATTCATCTACAATATTATAAACAACTTTAACATCATTGATGTATAGCCTAAGCGACAATTTTAGCGTTTTAAATCAGCATTAGATGTTTATCTGCCGCGAAACAATATTGTTGCAGGGTATATTATATAGTATATGAAATAATTATAATGATGCTGTTGACGATGATGATGATTGATGAAAAACAACTTCCGGAAGTGCGCAATTTGATGGGGGAAATTCGAAATTCGCACGGCACTCTTTCTATTTTTCTTTTCACTTCCACTTTGGGCGACAGAACAGATCAAGAGCTGTGAAAAACTGAGAAAACCCCAACAACACGATAAACTGTAAACAAAAACAAAAACTAATTTTGGATTGGGTGTGAAAGAATTGGCAACTGAAGCACCTATCTCACTATACAATCGATGTAAAATTTGTGTACAGTAAAGCTAAGAAAACACATCACAAAGTCAAAAAGAAAAACACAAATGGAAAACACAAAGGAAAACACGAACCAAACGAATGCAGTTCGACAGCCAGTAAAATCTTGTCACGTCTGGTTCTCGAACCCCAATGTCGATTGCTGAGATTTAAATTTTGGGAGCACTTCAGATAGAAAGATGGAGCAAAAGAGAGAGAGAGAGAGCAAAACAGTGATCGAGAGATATATGGGCATAATATAATTTGATTGCATCTCTATTTATACACATACGACAGACTTCCAATCAAGACGCCCCCATTTGTCGAGAGTTTCAAGTTGTGGGTAGGAAGTTAATGTTATTCTTCATGTTAATGTTCTCGTCTCTAGTTCTGCTTATTCTTCTCTTCACGCGCGCGTGTGCGTGGGGGCGTGCAGTTCATAATTTGTTCAAAACAAAATATCAAATTGCTAACTGAATGTGGCATATTTTGTATCGCATCGACAAAAATGAGGTCAACAGCATAAAGCAAAAAAACAAAATAAAAAGCGAAGAGTCGTCGACTACTAAATACCCTAGCAAAAAAGTTGTCTCAAGTCGCGTTATCTAATCTTAGATAAAATTAATCTATGCTTTAATTACACATATTAAAAATATATAACAAATTAATCTTTATGACTTTCGCCTTGATGCTATATATGAACTTTAATCTAGTCTTTAAGGTATTATCGGAACTATACATAGACATAATATCTGCACACTTTATGATAGATTCTATCTTTGAGACCTATATCCTTATCTTTATAATTTCCCATTTTTAAGAAGCAATGTTCAGGTATATGCATATAGAACATAAAAGTACTTGTTTTTTATAGTATATCAGAAGTTTATATATTATAGACATGAGTGTTACCTATCCGCTAACATAATTATCATATCCACTTCAATGTGATAAATAGAAAATATTGTTTATTTTGCATTCTAAAACAAATAAGAATGCTCTACTCGGAAGTAGCTGACTAGAAGATACCCTGAACCCTACGCAATCAGTCAACGCTACTTTTATACCAACATAGATAAAAAGCAGTCAGACGGACATTACTATATTGACTTAGCTCGTCGTGCTGATCCAGAATATATATACTTTACGGACTGTTTTATGCTGCCTACTGCCAACACCATTATACCCTGAATTTCCATTTTCAATGGGTTTAGAGTATAAGAACACTGGCACCAAAATGCCAAATGCATTTTGTTTGTTTGGCTAGGAGGGAAATATTTATGAAACGCTTTTATTAATGCGCAAAAATAACAATAATAATGCGTTCAAAACTGAATTCCAATACCGAAGACAATGCACAACATTTATGAAACAGTTCTTAAGGCAAGCCATTCAAAAAAATATATATAAAAGAAGTCAATGACACACTTCGAAAGAAGTCAAGTTATATATAAATGGTTCAGTATTTACGTCAAAAATAATATAAGTAAATATATAAATATAATATATAATATATAATATATACATATATTTCTTATATATTACATTTTTATTTAAAAAAACTCTTAAACATTTTTAAAAAGTCAACAATCAAATAATGAGCGACAAGTCAAGCAGACATAAAATAATAAGACAGATGTAAAAAGTATTAACCGGCGTTGCGCGTTCATAGAATTTTCTTATAAATTAGGGAACAGTTTTTTCAATTTAAGTTGACTGTCTGCCTTTCCATAATGTAAAGCAGGCGCTTTAAGCTTGTCGAACCACTAGAAAATGCAGGAAGCTGACATATCTCATATATTTTGTGTGCTGCCCGACTCCTGCCTCATTGCCCAAATCCTTGTGGTCCCAAGGTGAATAATATACGAAAACTGGCGAAATTGTTCGTCTTCTTTTTTAGTGAACGTGCACATTTTCTGCTTTTGGCAACAGTTCAAATTCGTTCGCTAGAGAATTGGAATTGGAATTGGGTTTAGGTTTGGTCTTAGGGTTTGTGTGTGGGTTGGCAACGTGTCGTATCGTGTGCTTTGTGGCCACTGCAGTGAAGTCCTAAAGGACTCCTTTGTGGTGTCATTTGCCCAGCACAAACAAACAAGACACCTCGTACTTGAGGGCAGGCTGCCTGCCTGGTTGCCTGCTTTATGTCTGTCTGGCTGCTATTGACCCTATGGATTATGTACAGCCTAAGTGGCGGGCACTTCAACCTTTTGCAGAGTGCAGCCAACTTCAGCTTGGCAATAAATAACATTTGCTAGAAGAAAAGCGAGGCAGAAAATGTGTTGCAAGTGTTTTTTGCTGCTACTGCTTCTTATTCTTGCTGAAATGCAGTCGAACAGTGTAGACAATGCAGCGCCAAACAGCAAATACCCAGTGGGAAATGCATTATTGACTAAGCTTGAAAATATGTAATCGAAATTTACTGCAAGTCAATCCTCTAATCTAACCTGACACTAATATTTTATTATGACACTCAATTCCCTCAAGTTCTTCAATATACATGAGTCATTCTGTGAAATGTCACTATGATTGTCATATAATCTAGTGCAGCTGGGATTTCTCAAGAGATGAGCTTCAGTTGCAGGCGAGCGTGCAAGTAAGTCTTTCAATATGTCTGACTTTTAATGTGAAATTTCACTGCGACTGGCATGTAATCAAGTGCAGCTGGGTTCTCTCATAGAGATGAGCTTCAATTGCAGGCGAGCGTCGGTGCTTGTGCTTGTGTGACGCATCCATAGTGAGGAATGGGCGATGCCACTGAACTTTGCCTATGCAATAGTTGAGCGTTGCCACCTATGAGTCAGCCTCCATGCACGCCTAGATCTATGCAACTCTGTTGTTTATTTTATTTATACTAGCAAAAACTAAGCTTCTACTTGTTGTTATTTTTAAGTTTACCTTTGTTACGTTTTAACAAACATTTGTTGCGCCTATGCTGCTTGTCGTCGTTCGTTGTGTGTAATCGTTGTTCCTGTTTCGCTTGTCGTTTTTTTGCACGCACAAAATAGACGGATGAGTAATGAGGTGAAGCCCTCTTCCCTTAGACTGCTTGCTCCCGCACAACTTTTTTTGCTATTTTTTTTTACTTTTAACTAGCGCGGCTGCTGTTGTCGCCGCCGGAGCACATTTGCCTAGGCACGCGCATAAATATGACTAAAACACGCGCTTTCACTCACTATACACATATGTAAATACATACATATGTATAGCATATATATAATACACAAAATGCCTTTTTGGTTTGGCCAAGAGAATTTCTATTTCTGGGTCTCAGCAGACTAGAAAACACACACGGTCATTTAATGGTGCTGCAAATGTCGCGATACTACCGCTACTGTTGCCGAATAAACGTTCTGATATTCTTGATCCGATATTAGTTCGTTTATTGTTGCAGCTGTATTTGTTTTCAAATTACACTTGTAACTTGATTAAACTAAATATGCAATAATTTTCGACAGAAGCGACTAAACATAAATAAACAGCAGTGTGACTGCACACAGGAAACGTGAAAATACTCATCACGGTACTACTCGTTATCGAAATACTTGAACGATATATCGGCACAAGTGTACGACCACCTTAATTGAAATAGTTAAATAATTGCAGAATTTAGTGCCTTAGTGCCAATGGTAAATTTGTTAATTATTTAATTTATTTATTTAATATAAAAACCTCTACTAGTTAAAAAATGTTTAATAAACATTGATTATTTTGAATCAAAACTTTAATACACATATTTACTGAGTATGGTTACCCTAACAGTGCTGGATAACGTTGAACACTCTTCCAGTGACAGCGTGAAGTGCAGCTAACTTTGCTCACTTCTTTCTTTCCCAAACTCTGAAGATGGTGAGTGGACGTCGAAATGAGTTGTGCATTTTAATTTAGCTTTAAAGCAATGTAGAAACTGCACAAACAAATATAAATGTGTAAAAGTTAAATGGCAATTGTGCCGTTTGCAGTACAGTGAATTGAAACATGCTTGTGCTATTAAAAAGTGAGCAAAAAGACAAAAAGCTACGATGGCGTGCAAACATAACCTCTGCCATGTGTTTAGCTGGAAGCAAACGTCTTCACTTGCCGCTGTCAATGCACGTGTAACTGTATCTAATAAATAAAATTGGTTGTTTCTTTTTTGCTTGCAGTCGAATATCAAGAGGAAGAAGACCAGGAAGCTCCGTGGTCATGTCAGCCACGGCCATGGTCGTATCGGCAAGCACCGCAAGCATCCTGGAGGTCGCGGTAACGCTGGTGGCATGCACCATCACCGCATCAATTTTGATAAATACCATCCTGGTTATTTCGGCAAGGTTGGCATGAGGAACTTCCATCTGCGCCGCCAGCACAAGTTTAGACCCGAAATTAATTTGGACAAACTGTGGTCTCTGGTCGGACCTGAGAAGTTCGCTGAGCTTGAGAAGGAGAAGAGCACTAAGGCGCCAGTTATCGATCTGGTTCAATTTGTAAGTTTTGTCTAGAATATTGGAATTTGAGAAATATCGATGCTTGATTTTTGTTTAATATGAAGAGATACCCAAGGCGATGGGCGGACTGAATGCGACCGTACAATTGCTCTCCCAATGTAGAGAAAGCCTTTCAGATACAAACAAAAATTAAAATCAACATCGATTATATAATAGCCCTTATTTTCATTTAATATGTGTTAATTCTGCCTCTTTAGGGCTATTACAAGCTGTTGGGTCGTGGCCATTTGCCTGCTCGTCCCGTCATCGTCAAGGCGAAGTACTTCTCCAAGAAGGCTGAGGACAAAATCAAGAAAGCCGGTGGTGTCTGCTTGCTGAGCGCCTAAGTTTAAGGTGAGTTACAATCAATTTGACTATATTTCCTTTACTAATTTTCTCTTATCATTCGCAGATATTCCTCTTCTAAATGCAACTGAACGTAATACATTCGACCATCAAAAATGTATTTGTTTTTTAATAAATTTAAAAAGAAAAACAAATTTATTGTGTTTTCATATAGTTTCGCGGTTTCCGTGACGCCACGGCTAATTCATCGATAAAAAAAAATGAGCATCACTGTGAAATTTAAGCTTCTAACAAACATCACTTCTGAATAATATGAAATTTAATTATATTGTTATCGCTTACATACGCTTAAACTCGATTTGCGTGTGTCAATATTTATGTTTCACTGTGGCCATAAGTTTTTCTTGCTATCTATAAAATCGACTCTGATATACCCTATAAACATTGCGCTTGCTCCAAATAATGTTCTGGCTTATTTAATATTCTATCATACTTAAATTTTATAATATTTAACTAGTCATTGTAATTTCAAGGCAAACAAAAGAAAATAAATGCTATTGAAATTTAATTTAAATTATAACAAATTATGTATCCATATTAGAATGAATATTTATTCGATTGCAAATGCTCAATCTAATAGTTTATATCGCCTACAGGGTATGCAGCACGGAAAATTTCTAATTTGTCATACGTCAGAAAGTCTGGCAACCTTGTGGCTACCCTTCACTGTATTGAACGGCAAATTTTGCAACTTGTTGGCAGATTTTCACATTTCGTGTAGCTGAACGGTTGGGATTGCCTCGAACGCAGCAAAAAAAAAATAGATAACGCATTGTTGTCGGTCAAGGTAGCTCATTTTATTTGTTACATTTCCGTTACTTAGAGGGTGTCCTTGAATGAAGGACGAACGATATTAGTACAATGAAAAACGAATACGGAAATTAACTTGTTCAGAAATAAAAAACAGTGCCAAGGCTAAAATCGGTAACGTTAACTTTGTTCTTAACTTGTATTTTTTGTTTATTTACAGTCTACTACATCTACCAACTGCAAGCAAACCACATTTACAACGTTACATAACGAGCAATCAGAAAGTGGAAAGATGGCACAAAAGATATTGCGAAATGTGACGCACTGCATCTTTGATATGGATGGCCTGTTATTGGGTAAGCGTCAAAGTGTTATCGCTATATCATAGTTTACACATGCTTCTAACCAGACACCGAGGTTCTCTACACGAAGGCCGCCCAAATGGTGCTCGATCCCTATGGAAAGACTTACACGTTCGACGTAAAGCAACAGATAATGGGTTTGCAGACGCGTCAGGTGGCCGAGTTTATAATTAAACAATACGATCTGCCGTTAACATGGGAAGAGTACGCTAAACAACAATCCGACAATGCTCGCGCCCTCATGGTCGATTCACAATTAATGCCAGGTAGTAATATATGATTCCACATTCGCACTATTTCAGACACTGAACGAATATATGAAGAAATCACCCGACAAATAGCTGGCACATATGGTCGTCCATATCCAGAAGCAGTTCGTTTCAGAGTAATGGGCACTACGGAACAGCGCTCAGCCGAAATAGCTGTCGGTGAATGTGAAATACCAATATCTGTAAATGATTTCCTACAACGTTATCACAAATTATGCGGCGAACGGTTGAAGAATGTGCCCCTACTTGAAGGTTAGCCCGCACCTCAGCTGTTCTTAGAGTAGATGTTGAATCAGTGTACAGTCATCTACTATTTACCACTGCTACTACAATTTACAAACTGTGCTCTAGTCCTGCATGCTTGACTAGCTGATCGCCTGTTCAAAATAATGCGCCACAAAAGTTCTAATAGGAAATTTTTATACATTTTGTCCGATAGCTTTGAAAGTAAAAGGAGGGGCAACAATCAACTCTTCGTTCCTTCATTTTAGAGAAGTGACTCCTAAAACGATAAACGATAAATTATTAGCGTGCTTATAGCCAATACAAAATACTATCTTGAACTATAGTTCAAATTTAAAGTTTTTATGATATGAACTTATTTTAACAGACGAGCAGAGTTGATTAAAAATAAGTGTTTGTTTTTATTTATGCCTACAATACATAGAAACTTGGCTTGATTTACAAACTTGCACTAAATAATTGTAGTACAGCAAAATACGAATGTTAAAGTGTATCCCTAATCCTTTGCAGGTGCTGAGCGTCTATTGCGCCATTTGCACACGAACAAAGTGCCCTTCGCCTTGGCCACCAGCTCGGGCGCCGATATGGTTGAGGTAAAGACCACACATCATCGTGAGCTCTTCAGCCTTTTCAATCATAAAGTCTGCGGCTCCACCGACAATGAGGTGAAAAATGGCAAACCAGCGCCCGATATATTTTTGGTAGCGGCTAGTCGTTTTGCCGATAAGCCCAAACCAGGTAACTGCTTAGTTTTCGAGGATTCGCCGAATGGAGTTGAAGCAGGCAACAGCGCCGGAATGCAGGTCGTCATGGTGCCCGATGAGCGACTTTCCCAAGAGCGTTGCGCCCATGCCACGAAGGTGTTGCGCTCGCTGCAAGATTTTAAGCCCGAAGAATTTGGGCTGCCACCATTTAGTAATTAAATTTGTAGTGTACCTATTTCAACTTCTAAATACAAATTAATCATTGTTTAGCATTTACTATTTTGTTTATTTTGTTTAGTTTACAAGTGCCATTATATCATTCTACATATGCAAGCTTTTGTCTAGATTATCGACCAACAGCCTCCAAATGCTTATGAATATCTGGAGCGGATTGGTTGGCCAAGGGGATTGACACTTCCTTGCCTTTTTCTGAAATGAGAGTTGTCTTTAATATGGAATAAAAATGTCAGGAACTTACATATCGCACTTACCAAACCGGGCCCACAATTTTGGCTGCACACCTGCGCACTCTCTTACCAAAATAGCCAGGTTTGGATTATTCTTCTTTAGGCTCGGATAAAATCTCTCCACATATTTCCTAAAGGTATATTTGCTCTATATTAAATTATATAATTTAGTAATAAAAAATGTTTAGTAACCTGGCGCCCTTGGAAGCTTTGCATGTTGGATCTAAGATAATTCGCACTTCCTTTAGCTTAGCTGTAAATTGAGTAAAAAGTACAGGGCCTACACGCATGTCGTTTGAATTGTTTGATAAGCCGTCAGAACTTAAATATGAACTGTATGCGTGAGCTGCCAGATGGTTGTATTTGGTTACTGGGTTTAAAATTTCTATGAATAGCTAACACAAGGTGGCAGCTCCGCCTTCGATAAGTTCTTTGCAACCCTGTCGAATGTCAATTTATTGTAAACTTTGTTTACGCGTGTTATTCTTGTCAATTTATTAAAAAAACACAAAAAAGAAACGTGAAATAAAATAATCAAAACAAGATGACGTCCGTACATTGTCAACTATGGATGGGAAGTGTAAGTCGCAATAGCCCAGTACAAAAGAATTGCACTAGATATTTGAATTGTTTTGCAGCTGGAATCATACATGACGGAGAATTTCATAATTGCCGCATTTCGCAAAATGGGCGAAGATCCAACAACAGTGCGTCTTATGCGTAATAAATACACAGGTGAGCCCGCGGGCTACTGTTTTGTTAATTTCATATCGGATGATCACGCACTGGATGCCATGCACAAGCTAAATGGAAAACCCATACCTGGCACAAATCCCATTGTGCGTTTTAGACTAAACTCTGCGAGCAATTCGTATAAACTGCCAGGAAATGAGCGTGAATTTAGTGTTTGGGTGGGTGATCTTAGCTCAGATGTGGATGACTACTCCTTGTACAAGGTCTTCTCCAGCAAATACACATCGATCAAAACAGCCAAAGTAATCCTGGACAGTCTGGGCTTTTCTAAGGGCTACGGGTTTGTGCGTTTCGGCATTGAGGATGAGCAGAAATCAGCACTGTACGATATGAATGGTTATGTTGGTTTAGGCACTAAGCCCATAAAGATATGCAATGCGGTACCCAAGCCAAAGGCGGAGCTAAGCGCTGCACTGGGCAATGGCGGCAACACTTATGGCTACGGAGGCTCCAGCACAGCGTCCACATCTTCAACGAGTGCAGGCGGTGCTGATTATTCGCAATATTATGATCCGACCAGCACCTACTGGCAGGGCTACAATGCCTGGCAAGGCTATTATGAACAAGGCGCAGCTCCTTCAATAACAGATGCTGCCGCCTACTATCAACAAGCAATGTCCCAATCCCACTCAAATCCACAGACACTCGCTCAGCACGCCGAAGCGTGGAGCGCACAGCGCAGCGCTCAATACGAGCAGCAGCAACAGCAGCAGACTACCCCAACTAACGGCACTGCCGCTGTTGAAGATGATTACGGATTGGAGGATCATAAGTTTGTGCTGGATGTGGATAAACTCAATCGAGAGACTATCGATTCAGATCGTCACCTCTATGATGCTTTGGAGAGCTCCAAATGGCTGCCCATAGAGCAATTGGAGGTTTATTAGAAATAATTATGGTAAATAATATTGTAAATTTTAAACATATAATTAAATGATCATTCATCTAATTTTAGAATTAGAAAAAATAAATTTATTTTTAAATCAATTACAATCGGGAAGACGTAAGGCTCTTCTTTTAAGGCTAGATTTGCGGGAACGGCGTATCTTCATGTAAATTGTATCTGGAATGTGATATTTAAATTTTATACACTAAAAAGTATTGATTGCATTTAAAAAAAAATGACCTTTTAGTTAAAAATAAAAAATGTATTTAGGTAAAAGAAAATAAAGCTAGATTTGACGATGAGTGGCTGAACTGGCAGCACTGAAGAACTCGTCTGCAAATTGCCGAATTTGTATGTAGAATTGTGTTTATATCGATATTCTGACTAACGATATTATTTATCGAAAGACTACCAGCTCTATTACATTGCACGATTTTTCTTGCATTTTGCGACAAAAATCACAAAACATTTTCTTTCAATGGCGCCGTTTAAACGGGTACGCCAGCCAAAAATAACAACACAAGCGTTGCTCGACTTTGATTTGGGTGAAAGCTCATCGGATAGTGATTTTTTGCCCGACATAGACAATTGTTCGGATGGATCAAAGGACGAAAGCGACGGCGATGGCGACAGCAGCGACGCCAGCAGCAGCAGCGATAACAGCGACAGCGATGCAGACGGCAATTCTGGCGATGACAGCGATGATTCTACGCTGCAGTTGCGCCAGCTGCTAGCTGAGAGCAACAACAATGCTCAGGAGGAGGCAACAACGCAAGCTGCAGCTGCAGCTGCTACACCCGCTCAGCTCGCCTTAGTACCGGTGCCTCGTATAAATGGCTTCAATTTGGAGCCACTGGCGCCGCCAAAGCGTATGTGCTGTGTGTGTCTGGGCGAGCGTAGTGATGATGTCAACGAGATAGTCGAATGTGATTCTTGTGGCGTCTCTGTCCATGAGGGCTGTTACGGCGTTAGCGACAATGTGAGCATATCTAGTACGAATTCCACCTGCTCCACCGAGCCTTGGTTCTGTGAGGCTTGTCGCGCCGGTGTCACGGAGCCAGATTGTGAGCTCTGCCCCAACAAGGGCGGCATATACAAGGAAACAGATGTGGGAAAATGGGTGCATTTAATATGTGCTTTATATGTGCCGGGCGTGGCTTTTGGTGAGGTGGAACAACTCAGCTCGGTGACACTGTTTGAGATGCAGTATAGCAAATGGGGCGCGAAGCTGTGCTCACTGTGCGACAATGCGCTCTTTGCACGCACCGGCGTCTGTATTGGCTGCGATGCGGGCATGTGCAAAACCTATTTCCATGTCACGTGCGCACAGGTCGCTGGTTATCTTATCGAGGCGCATCATGAGGACGACGCAGCAGATCCATTTTATGCTCACTGTAAGGTGCACTCGGAGAAGGAGATGATCAAGAAACGTCGACGCAATTATCACACACTGCGCTTAAATATGCTGCAGCAGGCCAAGCAGCGAGCTTTGATCGAAGCTAATCAACAGTTGATTGATGCTAATCCAAATCCGGCACAGGCGCGCATACAACGCAAGCTACTCAAGATACAACACAAATATGCTCAGCACAAGCAAATGAAGCCAACGCCGTGGGTTCCCACGCAAAAGATGTCACGTCTGCTAACCAGTTCCGCTTCGGCCTGTCGTCGTCTGCTGGCCAAGGCAGAGTTCATGGCCGTGGATGTGCAGCACTTGGAACAGCGAGAGGCGCATATACAAGCGCTCCAGGACATACGCAAAAAGTGGCATATAGCTCCAGCTTTTAGTGTTGAATTCACTGCTTACTATATGGATCGTATTGTGCGTATGTCGGAGTTCAAGCAACAGCAACAGCAGCTCGTACAGCACAACTCTGCGTTAAGTCAGGCGCAGGATGTGCTGCGCGCCAAGTATGATAATGCACTGGAGGAGCGAAAGCAGGTGAAGGCTACGCGTGATGCTTTGGTTGCTTCCATCAAATCGCTACACAATAGCTTGACGCAACTTTGTCCTTCTTTGAGTTTGCCACTTGTAGAGCTAATCGCACGCCCGTTGCCGGAGCAAGTGCCCAAAGTAGCGACTCCTCCACAGCGACCCATTTCAGTGCCCACAGCGGCAGCTCTAAAAATGGGCGTTGGTTTTCCACTCGCCCATTTGGGAAATAAGCTGGACAACTCCCGCATGCTGAGTACCCAACAATCGCAGATCAATTCCACTAAGGCATCCACCATAGCACCAGCTGTTAGTTGCGGCATCTGTAAGCGTAATAATGATCAGCATTTGCTTGTGAAGTGCGACACTTGCAATCTGCACTATCATTTGGGCTGCTTGAATCCACCGCTAACGCGTCCGCCGAAGAAATCAAAACAGTATGGCTGGCAGTGCTCCGAATGTTGTGACAAATCGGATGTATCCGATGCGGTTACCGAAATCTCACCAGGTCCTCGAAAATCACGCACGCGCTTCAACAAAGACGGGCATTTGGTTTATGTGGATCGATACTCACTAGATGATATGCCCAAAGAGGTGCATCAGCATCAAAAGCGTGCACTTAACAAAACGATGCCTGCTGCCATTGAAGCTGGCGAGGATTTGAGCAAGTCGCCAAAGCGCGCCAAGATGCAGTCGCCAAGGAAGACCCCCGTCAATGGTAGGAATCAAATTTTTAAACCAACTGTTATCCATTTCAATAATCTGTTCTAATTCCCAACAGTTCAAACAGTCGCCCATATAGACCTAACAATTCCACAAGCTGCAGGCATCTCTCATTTGTCTGGCTGTGAGGATTCCATTGACGATTCCATTAGCAAACAATCTTCGCGAAAGGGCAAGCGCAAGGATAAGCATAAAAACAAGCACAATTTGTCATCGGATACCGAGAAATCTTTCACAAAGGAGCACAAGCGTAAGCGTAAAAAGCGTGCGCATGCGGATGAGAGTACGCCAGATAATGCCAACTCCGGGCGACCTATTAAAATCATATTTAAAACGCTGCGCTTGCCTGGCGAAGATGCGCCAGAGTCGCGCAGCTTCTATGTGCCCGCCAATGCAGTGCGTTCTGTGGACGAGGCATCGCGTCCCACCTCCGTGGAAACAGTTGAGGATGTCATTCAACCAGAGCAACCAGCTGCGCCTCTCGTAGTGGTGTCCACCGTTATTGCACCACAAAAAGTCGTTAAGGAGTCGAAGCTGACACCAGAGACTCCCTCACCACAGCGCAAGGTCAGTCCTCGGAAGTCGACCCCGCGCAAGCAGCGGGTGGGCAGACCACGCGTATCTACTCCCAAGGCCAATGTTGAGATCAACTGCTGCATCTGCACGCAAGCAGCTAAAGCCAATCAGGTTGTGACTTGTGATGAATGCCATAAACATTACCATTTCGCCTGCCTCGATCCGCCACTGAAGAAATCACCGAAAATACGCGGATACTCCTGGCACTGTGCCGACTGTGATCCCACGGACGAGGAAGCACTGCCCAAAAAATAGTTTTATTCTCTCTTAACTAATTCACTTTTAAGCATACGACATAATATAATATAACTAATTATAAGCTCTCTTTTACCCGATGCACAAGTATTTTAAAATGTTTTCAACTTATCTATAGGCTTTGTCTCATGGCTACGAAGCGTTTATTATCTCCATGATAATATCTTGCTATATAATTGTATCTATACTCTGATTTCATTCACTGCCCATTCTATGGTTTATTGACTATCATGTTAAATGTATTTCATTTGTATTTATAATTCGTTTATATCACGGCTAAGATATTCAGATCAGTAACTATAACTATAAAGCTTCCACAGAAACAAAACAATCAGTAATTTATATTTACATAAAATGTTTGTACAAATTAGGCATTTATTTTTGATAATAATTTTAACATATCATAAAATCCATCAATTTATATATTTCATTCAACTTTATATTATGCCCTCCATAGATAAAAAGCTCAAGCAATTGTTTATATAATATATCTATGTATATATATTTGACAAACAATAATTGTACAAAACGTTTGTTTTCGTTAGCTTAGCCATAGCATTAAATCCATATTCCAACAAGTAAGGCTTGGATTTACCAACCCGTCGAATTTAGCGCTTCGAATTCTTTTCGATATTGAGTTAGATCCTTGACCATGTAAGGGCCCTCCAATGTGTAGCCGAGTTTTCGGTAATAGTTGCGCGTTCCAACACCTGAAATAACGGCAATCTTCGTGCTCTCATGCTCCTCGATAGCTATGCGCTGTGCCTCCTCCATGAGCAGAGTGCCAAAGCCCTGATGCTGAAATTTAGTCGGATCTCGGGAGCTGACAGGCACCACGGAACCATAAACATGCAGCTCGCGCACAATGGAGCAATTGCCCTTCAGTTCTGGCCTGAAAGTCTCCGATGAGCACTTACGCAGGCGTAGCAGTCCAACAAGTATATCCTGCTCGGAATCCTCATACGATAAGAACGTTTCCCAGCCGCCGTTAGCCACATAATCGCGACGTATCAATTCAATTTCATAAGGACGCACTTTGTTGTGGATCTCTTGAATACCAACCTCTCGGGTGCGCACATCCCGGCAGACGGTGCCCAAATCCTTCATGCGAGCTAGCGCCAATTCACGGAGATTACCATGCTCAACGCCAGAGCTAAGGATGGAAGGTCAGGATTAGAAATTAAAGTGAATTTCAATGTTATTAAGACTCAGATGTTACCTAACTAAAGGCATGGGTATATCACGCTGCACGCGGTAGACACGCGTCCAAGGTGGTACCAAGGCCAATATTTTAGCGACCAAATCGACCAGCATCGAAGGGGGATATGACTTGTAGCGACCTGTCTTCCACAGTTCATAGAGTCCAGTGCCGCGTATAACCAGAGTTGGATAGATTTTTAAGCCATCTGACCGAAAGGCGGGATTCTCGAAATATTCAATAAACTGTTCGATGTCACGCTCAAAGTCCACATTTGGCAGATCTGGCATCATATGAGTGACAATCTTGTATCCGGCATCTTTGCCCATTTTAAAAGTCTCACATACGGCGGCCACCGTGTGTCCGCGATTCGTGTCTCTGGCCACATCTTCATAGACAGACTGCACTCCGATCTCTAAACGTGTGCAGCCATAATTCAGCATATCCGTGATGTGACGTTTCAGGCAATAATCTGGACGTGTTTCAATTGTGATGCCAATGCATTTGGACCTCGATTTCTCTGAATAACGCACCGCTTCAGCCACATTTGCGCTGCTGTGTCCGGAGAGGGCATCGTGCAAATTTCGTATAAAGTAATCGCGATATTCCTCCGACAGGGCCATGAAAGTGCCGCCCATTACAATGAACTCCACTTTGTCTACCGAGTGACCCAGTTGTTTCAGCTGCTCTACTCGATGCCGGGTCTGCAGAAAAGGATCGTAGCGTGCGCGTATGGCACGCATCGATGTGGGCTCATAGCCCGTATAGGATTGTGTGGAGTATTCGAAATCGCTGTCCGGTCCGCCGGGGCAATACACACAAATGTTACCCGTAAAATTGATGTGCGGGCAACGATGTGGCTTGCACATGACAGCAACCACGGCAATCTAAAATAATGTAAACTATAAGCGCACCACTTAATAGATTTAATCATTTCTTACCCCGCTTGCAGTTCGTATGGGCTTGGCGCGCAACTTGGGCAGCAGTATTTTCTTTGCGTCATGCGGTACCGCTGCTATAATATCTACCAAACGCGGTGAGCTATCCAGTCCATATTTTGATGATATAAGCGACTTCATGCGATTTAGATTCACATCCTTTTTGTTTTCATGTGCCTTCAGAAGTTCCTGTATGATTTCGCCGATAACAAGCACTTGTCGCTCTTCGCGGCTAAGACCCACAGCTGCATCGGCATTAGAATTAATTAAACTTTAATTAATTTACATTATATCAACAATTCAAGCGTACCTAGTTTCTTTTTTTGCTTCATTTTATGGCTGGCGTAATTTTATAAATATTGCACGTGTGACGCTGCAGTAGCCAGTTAGAGCACATATCAAGAACAGGTTGCATCTCAGATGAATATTTAATGACGTCACAATCAACAGTGACACTTGAGTATATATCAGATTTTACTTGACTATTCACATACATTTTTATTATACCGTTGAAGAAAATATTATAAGTATAATAGGTTTGATAAATCTGAAATCGAGTGGGCATATATTCAAAAAATGAGTTATGGTCCTTTAACAATATTTTAACGCATGTTCTAAGATTCTGACGTCACATTCAACTAAAAACAAACAAACAACCACTCATGTAAACGCACCCCAAACATTGCTATCGTTATCGATACAGAATCGATGCTTTTATTACAAGTATCCTAACGTTGCAAGACGAAAAGGGGCATCGGTTGCGGTTGCGTTTTATTATAACAATTTTCGACGGAATAGAAAAATGACTAGCTGCGTTCAGCAGCAAAAAGACGATGAGCAGTTGCTAGAGCAACTGAATGCCAGCGACGATGAAATTAACGACTCAGGCGACATCGCTGAGGAAGAGGAAAAAGACAAACAATTGCTAACAGAGCCTACATTCTGTTTTTCGGTGTGTATACAAAAAAGAAAATAACAAAAACTTTTTATTTTAATATTATTTGATGTATTCATGATAACTGTAGAACAGCAACACATGCTGGGTGTGCAATGGCTATTATGGACCGAACTTTGGGGAGCCGCTATGCGGGGCATGTCATGCTTTTCTATACAACGCACAACGGGCCGAAGAGTTGCTGACAGAATTATCAGACGACGAGGACTCTGGCAATGATGAGCCGCCTTTTAAGGACAAGCAGGAGGATGATGAAACTGAAAATGATGCAGATATAATGGGCTTTGAAGACCTAGAAGATGCGGCACCAGCTGCCCCTCAACAACAACCACAACAACAGCACCAGCAGCCACAGCAACAGCAACAACAGCCGGCAAACAATGAAGCTGAGCATATAGAGGAAGCTCAGCCTGCACAACAACAGGCAGAGCCGCAGGCGGAACCTCAAGCATTGCCCGCGAGACGAGGCACACCGGAGCGTGATTACGAGCATGAACGTGCGATAAATCCATTTCTGTTACCCATCAAACGGCCACGCCCCGCTGCACCACACGCTCTGCCCCATTACATGCTCGAGCTCGCCGATGGACGTGCTCGTGCGCATGAATACAATACAAATAACAGTGGAAACAGCAGCAGTAGCAGCAGCAGCAAATGCATCACTAGTCGCATACCCGTCGAGGTGATGTTGAAAATATTTGCTTACTTAGATGACATGTCGCTGTGGATGGCCAGCGAGGTGTGTAAGCAATGGCACGAAATTATTGTGAAGAATACGGCTCAAAGCATGTGGAAGACCTACATTAAGCAGCGCTGGCCGCTGTTTGAGTGCCTTGCCGAGCAACCAGACTGGTATAAATTGTACGGAGCATTGATGTCGTCTTGCTTCTGTCGCACCTGTCTCATTGATCTGGGCAGCCAGTCGCCACCAGCTGGCGAGCTGGGTAATGTGATACGAAATAACTTTTTGCGCGGCGAAGCGAATCTGTTGAACAGCTACGAATCGGAGGGCATATCGGCCATACCATTGGATCGACAAAATAATTATTGGCAGGCAACGATACTTGGTCCGCCTGGCAGCCCATACGAGGGCGGAAAATTCTTTCTGTTTATATACTTTCCGGAACGTTATCCCATGACACCGCCAACGGTGCGTTTTCTAACCAAAATCCTTCATCCAAATGTGTCAAGACATGGCGATGTCGGCATTGATATATTCCAGCAGCAAAACTGGTCACTGGCCCTAAATGTAGCCAAAGTTTTGTTGTCTGTTCAAAGTTTGCTCACAGATCCCTACACTGACGTGTGCATGGAGCCGGAGTTGGGCTATATCTACGAGCATGAGCGTTCACGTTTCGAGCAGCTGGTGCGGACCTGGACCTGGAAGTATGCCATGCTTGAGCTTATGACACCGCATTGAAAAAAATTTCGTAGCCTTGTTTTAGAAACTGGACTGAATGTTGGAAACATCTCATTTAAGTTGTTTTTGTATATGTAACTACCATTAATGTATTTAGTTTAATGCAGCCATTTATATTGGCCTCTCAAAACACAATATATAGTCAAAATTATGCTTAATATATATAACACTTGGAAATGTTCAAGCCGAAGTGCATTATTTTCTCATTATTTATAATTAGTATAAAGAAATTTAGCTGACCAGCTGTTAGGGCCAGTTGAATATCAAAGCTTAAATACGACATACGTAATTGTGTTACGAATTGATAGTCGTGAACTCTATCGGTTCATCGTATCTGACCACAGCAAAGATAAACTGTTTTAGAAATAAGTGCTTGTGATTGATCACCCCTTATTTCGTCCACGACACCTTGGGTATATCGAAGTGTTCGGTCAGCGTGTCCAGATGTTCATTGAATTTCTCTACGCGCTGCTTGTGCGTTGTCTGCGCCTTATCCATTATGCGTTTGTTTCGCATCTTCTCCTGTTGCTTCTTGGTCGCCAGCTCAGCCTTGGTCAGTTTGCGTTGGTATCCACTTGTACTGGATGTCGAGGCTTGTGCAGTTCCATTTGCAGCTTCGTTGAGTTGTTGCTCGACAAATGCTCGTTGCAATTCGTCCTTCTCCTTCTCCTTGTCCTTGTTCTTATGCTTCTTCTTCTTTTTCTTAAGCTCCGTATCGCTTTTAAGTTTTAGCTTGCCTTTGGCAGCGTACGCATATGCATCGGACATTGTGTTTATTATTTATATTTTATGGACAGACCCAAATGATTTGTTTTGCTCTGGTTACCAGGGCTGACAATACTATACGATAGCCAGGGCCAGAGATAGTATGTTAATTTTCGATTGTCACATATTTTCGATAGCTGCTCTATGCGATAGGTATTTTATTCAAAATTAATAACGGGTTAAAAAATACTAGAATAAATTGTATATTTTATTAGCTCTAACAATACTTTTAATAAAAATACAAATAGCTTATTAAAGAATAATAATAAATCATATACAAATATAATAAGTTATTTAACTGCTTCTATATTCTTGTACGGCAGTGCACACCAATTCTCTGTTTTGAGCTTTCGCTCTTTGCGGCCACCCACGCACCGATGGTCCGTGTAAGAAAAAGCTCGCATGCTGCACATGTAGTTGTGCGTGGTTAGGCTGCCGTGTACTTGTTAGCATTCAGTTCAATTCCAACGAGCGACGGTACAACATCCCGTGTGTTGTGCACACGCTCTCAAGGCGCGTTTGTAAATATTTAAAAAATTTATTCATAAATTGCTAAAACTCAACAACTCAACAAAGGCAGTTGAATAGAAAAAAAAATATTTTTAGCCGTGCCGATCGCTAATGTTAAGTGCAAAAAAGTTTTAAAAAGATTCAATCAAAAATATTATAATAAAAAATATTAAAAAAAAATTCAATTCTAACATAAAAAAAACCCAAAGTGCGAAGGTGAAAAATCTGCCCACTCTCTTGCAGTCTCTGAAAACTAACGGTTTAGACATTAGGTGGAAAAAGCTCGCTCACCTCGCATGCGTGTATGTGTGTGTGTGTGCGTGGGACTGTATTTGTGTGTGTAAGGCTCAGAGTTTTTGCTTGACTGCTGTGTGTGTGTGCCTGTTGGTTTTAGCATCCTGTAGCAAGTTCTTCACTCAAGGATAACAGTCGTAAAAGCACAACAATGTAATGAAAATATCAGAAAATATTATCATCATCATCGTCAGGCAAAAAAAGTATTACATTTTTATGTGCTTGTTCCGAGGATACATGTACATTTGCCACTGAATATATATATGTGTGTGTGTGTGTGCGTGTGTTTGTCCTTTCAATGGTTCTGTTTTCGTACGACTTTTTATGCTATTTGTTTTTCTTTACATTTATTTGACAATCTATCGCATTTGCATGTTCGAAATTTACGTTTTCAATTTGGAATTCGAACATAGCGACCGTTAACCAAGCAGCGTGATCTAACGGCCTATAAGCTCAGTCGCATAGCATGTAACAGGTAACCAACACATATGCAACGCGCGCGCTCTCTGCCTGTCTCTCTCTCTCTCTCTATTTTGGGCTCTCTGTCTTTCTCGCATTCTGAAAAAGGCCAAAAAAAAGCAACTTGGGAAGCATCAACAGCGACTTTCAATATCATAAAAATAATGTTAAGTTCGCATTAAAAATAAAAATCTGTTGTTCAGTTTTCTGCTTGGGCAGGCTTAGTTCTGGCATCAAAGAGTTTTCAACATATTATTTCTTTATGCACACAAGTTTTATATTTTTCTCTTATAAGTTGTCTAAATGGTTCACGCAAGAAAGCAAGACTTCAAGCTGTTATAATCGAAGGACTGAGCACTTGGAAATATTGTTTGAGTATTGTAGTTTGTAGTTTGCAAGAAATAAACAAGAATTAATTTGAAATAAAATAATGAAATTTTAAAATATATATAAAATAGCTCATGATTGATCCTTACATATAATATGAATAGAAGTTAGTTATAGCTATAGTAATAAAATGGTTGAGACAGAGGGAGATACTCTATTCTGCTGAGATTTCATTTTTTTTATGCTTAAAATTCTTTCTAAATGATTTAACTAAGCAAATACATTTTTGAAGAATGTTAATAATTAAAGAAGTAAATTGTAGAGATGTTGTTTTTGGCAATTTATTCTGTTTATTTTTTATTTATAAATATATTTTTAAAATTATAAAAATTTTCATTATTAATGTCAAATTTCTAAAACTATTTTAAAGCCAAAGATTTTCAAGCTCAACAAAGAGACTTTGTCTTCTTCCATTCTCTAGTAAATAGTATCAAATCTGCTCTGATTTCTAAAAGTCAGCACACACACATATATATTTTATGTTGCAAGTGGGATAACCACTTGCCACATGTGTGGCAAGCGTTGACCATAGATTTTATTTATCGTTTTCGTGTTGAAATCCCATTTGAGAGAATCCAAAAAGTTAGTAAGTGAAAAAAAGAACCAAAACGAGGAAAACTTTTTCATTACCAGTCGACCTTAAAATGCCTGTCGCATGCAAAATCGATTTGCCCACTTTATGACAGAGTGTAAAAGAGAGAAGTTTTGTGTCAGAATGAATTTTGAATAATTCAAAGGATGTTGCCCAAATGTTTTATTCAACACGTCGCACTGAAATACACACACAAATACACACACACACAGACTCAGAGATTGATTTAAAATTCCAGAAATGTTTGTTGCAAAAGAGCTGCGGTTGCAAATGCGTTATTGAAATGCCATTAGCGCAATTTCAATGGCGGCGCATACGCGGCGTATACGTAATTTGCCCCAGCAGTAGCAGCAGCAGCAGCATTGAACGATTTATATACCCAGCCAAACGATGCCAGTTGTCTGTTGTTATACGAGTGCAAATGTTAACATAAATGTGTGCATTGTTTAACAAATATTTACACACACACACGCACACACACACGTGCTACGCACAACAATGAAAAGTAATCAGCGCACAATAAAAATGCATAATTGCAGCGCATTTGAAGTGAAAGTTCAGTTCGGTTTTGTTCCAGTTGAGTTGCTCGGTCTTAATTGAAAAGTGCTCAAAAAAGTAAAGAAAAGCGAAAGAAAAGGTCAAATATTGAAAAGCTAATGTACCTGCTGCTGCTGCCATAGCCAGTGGCATGCTAATCAACAATTGCAACAGCTCGTGGCCAGGCCAATTTGCTCAGTATTAAACTCAAACTGTGAATCCTTGCCGCAGCACTTTCTAGTTGGCGTTCTTCCATGAAGGTGAGTGGATTCCAATTTTTATTAATAATTATTATTAAAAAGTAACTCATTGAACTGTAGAAGCTTTAAGTATTTTCAAAATCTGTCAATAATTTAGTCAGCATTTTGCCAAACAGTCAATCGATCAATTAATCAGTCAATCTGTCAAACAGTCCAGTCGATCAGTCAATCAATCTGCTGATCACTTAGTTAATCAATCACTCAGTCAATCAATCACTCAGTCAATCAATCACTCAGTCAATCAAACAATCAATAGCTCTGTCAATCAGTCCGTCATTCGTGAATCAATCAAGACTCAACAAATCAACCAAAGTGTCAATCAAATACTCAATCAGTACAGTCAATCGATTTAAGTCCCACTTTAATAATCGTAAAAGCAGCCCTCCAATTTCAGCATTTCGTATGCGCATTTAGCCTAAAATGGAACCGCATTAAAGAATTACGCGCATAATTAAAAATTGAAATGAATTCAACCGCAGCCAATAAATGCGCGTTTAATTCGGCGCACACTCAATTATATTATTTTTATATTTCCATTTGCTCACGTGCTGGCCTTTTAATAGCGACTCAAATATGTTGGTATTATTTATATGCATGCATTACGACTATACCGCAGTCGTGCCACGTTCCAATTGGGTTTCCTTAAACCGACAGCCGATTGAAATAAATTAAAATCAAATAGATTTTTTGATCAAATGAAAAGGAAACCAAAAAAGAAGAGATGCACATTTATTTTAAATTAAATAAATAAGTTCTATTATCTTAAAGCCTTTTTTGCGAGATTTTTTCAATACAAATTTTTCATAATAATAGGAAAAAATATTAAAAAATTAAAAAAAATATATATATATATTTATAATAATTTTTAAGAATAATTTTAAGAAGGAGAGAGCTAGGTTTGCCCATTATTATACTTAATTATTTATAAACACATTATTTAAAAAAAAAAAAACAACAAAAGAGAAGCATAAATATAATGACAGTTAGCTCGATTACAGGGTATTTTTCTGTCTATCATTTAGCAGTACATAATTTTCGTATCAATATTTTTCGTGTAATTATTTTGTTTACCTCCTCAATAACGAGTGTTCACGATATTATTATGAATCAATATTATTCATTGATTGCCTATGCATATAAGTAATTTGTTGTTGGAATTTGAACTCGAATTCGAATTCGAATTTTTATTTCTGTTTTGTTTTTTCCTTTTCTTAAATGTATTTGTTTTATTCACAATTTGTGCGCGGCGCTGCGCTAAATCTTTCAATATTTATATTTGATGAACTAAGTCAATAAACTTTGTGGGAGCGCAGCGCGTGTAAAACTGTTGTTCATTAAGCAGTCGGATGGTTGAGGCGTGGCACACGATGGGCGTGTAATGGACACTGTTTGCTATAATTAGCACCAGTCTCTCTCGCTCGCCCAGTCTCTTTCGCTCTTTCGCTCTGGCTGCCATTAGCTTCAACTGGTTTATTGCTTAATTGCACTTAGTGTTGCCTACTTTTGTGCGCTGCGGCACCCAGCGGCAGTTGCTGTGGGAATTATCTAAAATAGTCTTTTAGTTATATTTATAGCAAAATATAATTGATCTATTCATAAGCGTGTCCTTGTTAAGCTGACAGCCAATTTGTTTTTGTCTATAATTTATTAAAAATAATAAATGATGGATTGATATTGATAGTTTTAATTTAGCTGCAAATGTCGTAAAATTATTAAATGAAAATTGTTTTATTTTCTAATATACATTTTTTCATCAAGCTGGACGTTTAAGTAATTTTTTAACAAATTCTAGCTTTCACATGTTTTTCAAATAATTCAATTTAATTTATTTCTGGTTTTATTTCAATTTATTTCGATTTTAATATTTTTTATAAATAAATAATTATAAATATGTTCTGCACTTTTTCTTTTTTTATTTCTTTGATATGAATATAAAAATTCAAATTCTTGGCAGAATTTCTTTGTGCTCTTGAACCGTAACATGGGCCATGCTTCGTCGAAGAAGTAAAAGTTTTCGGTTCGTGGTTTTGGTAATTTAGTTTACATATTTATACGAGAGACGAAAGCAAAAAAACAATAAGACTTCACGCACACACACACGCACATACAGGCGAATACATTTGGAAACATGAGAAAAGCGAAGGAAACTCAATTTAAAGAACTCTGTTGCCACTACTTTTATGTATGCGGCGAAAAGCTGCAAAGAAAACAGAAACTGGAACAGAAACAGAAACAGAAACAGAAAAAGGACAATGTGCAAAGTGAAAAACTTATGCGTCAGATATGCGCAGCTGATGAAGTGTGTATAACGTGTCAGAAAATGCCTACGAAATTGGCACGCTGAGATTTTTTTCTTAATCATGAAAAATAAAGTTAAGTAGGGGCTTTCCCTTGTTTGCTTGAAAACGAGCACAATAGACGGGCGAAAGTTTCATTATTATAAGAGGAATTTTGCCAAGCACTTGAGAAGTGTTTAATAAGCTTTAAAACTTATCGATAACATATCGATATAATTAGGTTTAAGCAAAATACTGAATCAGACATTCCATTATTTTATTGATATTTAAAAAGTGTTCGCTAGCCATAATCACTTTTCGATAACTTATCGATACTTGCATACATAAACATTTTTTGGTTTTATTACTGTTAACACTGTATATACATAACAACAATTGCTGATATTTGCAATGAATTCTACACGGGACTATTCTTTATGCATATGCAAAATCTATTAATTTAATAACAAAATATTAAAGCATTGATAAGTAATACGGATAATTAAAATTAAATGAAATTTTTGGGTACTTCATGACATTACCAGGGACTAGCTCTACTCTTAATGCTTACCATTAAAAATAACCTGGGTTTCGTGGAACCAGCAGCACTCTTCTAAGCAGCTTAAAAAGCTGTTGTTCGATATAAAATTTAAATCGTATAGCCGCTGAGCATAAGCTCTTGCTGAGTACTACATCAAATTTAAGCTGTTGCAAAAAAAAAGGTGACTCGTTAACGTTACCCGGGACTACCCTTAATGTAAATGCGTGCGCTCAAAAGCCTAGCTTTTTATAACATAATATTATGGCTTAGATAGCTAAATAATATTGATATTTAGGTCAAGTTTTAGCTGAGCATAAGTACTTCTTGTCAGGGACTACCCTCAATGCGAATGCGTATCCTTAAAAGTCTACATTTTTTTATAACGAAGCTAAGGAAAAAATAAAATGCGCTTGTTCGATAAATAGAATTGCTGCATGAGCGTAAGCTGCCCTTGCGAGGGACTACCCTAAATGTAAGCTGTTGCCTTTTGAAGGTAACTTTCTTTGTATTATAACGAGCTCAGCTCTGCGACGCGTTCAGCTCTCGGGCATGAAATGAGGCATCTCGTGGGTGCGAGCGTTAAAGAAAGTGCGGCAAGGACTTCAATTTGTGTACGTCTGTGTGTGTGTGTGTGAATTACGGCACAGTGTGGCAAACATTTTTGTAGTTTCTTAAATTTGCGTAGCGCGCACTGCAAATTAATGAATAAGTGATGGAATTTTTGTGCACGTTCATCTGTGGCACAGTTAAACATTTTATTTCACACGATGTTTGTTGCATATTTTTTGGGGCACAGCATTTGCACCTTTTGCACCTATATACGTGAGTCTAAATTTGAATTACAACTCGAGCTGCTTTTTTTGTGTGTGTTTATTTTTTGCGCGTGCCTTGGCAAAGTTTTGGCTCAGTTTATGTACCAACTCGGTGGTCGAGCTTGTAGCCTTCTGACCAACAACCAGCATTACCTTCACCTTTTTGCACGCACACAGCCGACTGGCTGGCAGAAGAGGTCACCCAAAAGCAGTTGCCTGGCTGCCAATTTATAAATGTTGCTTGTGTATGTGTGCGTGCATGTATATATACCAATTTTTTACTCACTCACACATATGCAGGCTTAAACTTGCGGCACACTGAAATTGTAATATTCGCTTTTTATGCTGAGACTGCTAAAAAAAACTTGCTGCGGTCTTTGCTCACATTTTTCTCTCTAGTTTTTTTTTGATACTTTGTAGTCTTTTTTCATGATTGAGCTTTGGTCTGTTGCTAAACTAAAAAGTATATATAGTGGACTGCAGCGCAAGCCAAATACCCTGGCATTTGTAGATTAAGCTTTAAGTGTTAGTTACGTTAACTGAAACTAAGACTAACTAAATAGTGTGATCAATACTGACAATACTTGGAATTGTGCTATAAAAAGAAGAATCTTTTTATGTTATAATATTATCTATTCTATTATATCTATTATATCGCCTGCAAAGCTTTAAATCTCGCAACATTTCAAAGGCCTTCAACGCCTTGGCCTTTATCTCGTCAATCAACTCAATGCGATGTTTCCCGAGCAATGTTTTGAATTGCGCACATAGCAAACTAAGCCAAAAAACTGACATTCATCCGGATATCTTGTGTAACCAGGCAGACAAATCAGATTGCTGCAGCAAAGCTCAAGCCAGACAATTTGCTGCAATAGTAAAATAATTGAAGCAAAAGTATTTGATGTTCTGAAAATAAAATAGCTCTCTATATATTGAATACTAATGAGCAGTATATATATATATATAATTAATTTCAGTAAATAACAAAACTCATTTGAGTTTTGATTTTTAATGACCCAGCAAATGTGTTGCTATTTGAGTTATCAATAATATGCAGCTTTTTTAATATTTAATAAATTTTTCCATTTGATCATAAATGCTGTTGAATGTGTCAAAGGAAAAATGTCAAAATCACACAGCAAGTCCAACAAGAGACGTTACAGGCAAAGCCAAGACGGCCATATGATTAATGATGGAAATAATAAATGTTGTAATTTATATACAATGGCAAGAATGTGGCTGCAAGACAAAATTATAAAAACTAGCATAACTTAAGTTATTTACAGTTTATTATAATTTCTTCTGCAATTACTCTTATTTTCCTTATTTATTTTGAATACAATTTATGAAATTTTTTGCTCTAAAACTTTCATCTATTTTAAATAGTTTTCCTTTACCCTTTACCCTAAATATTTGTCGGTCTTAAATAAATATATCTATAAAATTCAGCAGTTATTTGATGAAGATCTAATGAAGCTTCTCAAGTTTATGTATTTTTTACCTATTGATAGATTCCCCTTCAAACGTTTTAATAGAGAGAAAAGATGCTAATCATTAGCTAACTGTTTGCCCAACGAAACCAGACTTGTTTAAATAATATAAATTTGAGCATTGCTAACGAACTCGTCAAATGAAACGAGCTTTAACAAGCTACATAAATTTAAAGACTATAAATTGACTGAATGACAAAGATTATAGTCAAAACGTTGTCAAGTGTCAAGATGAAAGTTACATATTTAACGATTTGCCTGCTGGCTGTGCTCACAGCTGAGGTGTATGGGGCTGTATATCATGGCAACTACAAAAGCGATGGTACGATTGTGAATGGGAATATATATATATGATGCATAGATTAAAATATATATTTATATATATAATTCTATATATATATATATATATATATATATATATATATATATATATATATAATTCTATATTCTAAAGCTCATCCGGGCAAATGTGTAATCGATGATAAAACCATATTGAGCGAGGGTCAAACCGTAAATGTGAATTGCGAGTCCATCAGCTGCGGCAGTGGCGGTGATGTAACCTTCGCCGGGTAAGAGCTCAGCTCTTCTGATATACGTATATATGTAAATGTGTTTTAATTGCCCGCAGCTGTGGGGCCAAAGGCGTGCCGGAACCCTGTAAGCTGGGCGATAGAAAATATCCAAAAGCTGATTATCCCAAGTGCTGCATCAATGTGGTCCATTGTCCCGATGGCGATAGTGAAATATAGAGTGCAACATATAAATAGAAACATTTGAATAAATCATGTGAAGATTTGTTTGGCCAAATGAGTTGTTTTATTGAATGTTTTCATTTTTTTGATATGTGAACTATATATTCAACGAGCTGATGTCTTCAATTAAGACAAACAACTTGATATTTGTGCCCATTATTTGTCGATTTTATTCTCTATAATATATAAAAAACTTAATTCTATTGCAATAATTTATAATAGGAAACACAAAAAATGAAAGGCCTTTCTAGCTAAACATTTTCTTATGATTTTAATGGCTTATCAAATATCAAGGCCTCCCTTTATAGCCATTTATAGCAGCTCTATTAATATACATACTAATTAGGATACAAACTTAATGAATGCTTTGCATGTTTTATGGGAAATCAAGCATACGAAAGATTAATCGAAACGTAGTCAAACTCGTAATAATTAACGATGTGGTTTACCTGTTGACTAAAACCAAGCGAAGGTTATGCATATGTGAATCATTTGGTTACATATGTGTTTAGTTAAGTATACACATAATACAAACACACACACCCACACATAAAGTTACAGAGACTTGTCATAAAGAGAAGGACTCCAGCTTCAATTAGTTGCAGTTAAATGCACTCAACACGGTCAACAAATCAATTTGAATTTGTGGCTTAAGTTAAATTAGGTGTGCCTGTGTGTCTGTATGTGTGCCATGTGCGTGTGATCGATTAGTGTGTCTTATGACAGCCCTTAACTGTGCGATAGTCGAGAATCAAAGTTTCGAACATTTATATAAAATAAAATAAAAATATATTTTCATTCCAATTTTTTTATATAAATCTAAGTTTTTATTTTATTTCTTTATTTATTTTCTAATACTTTAAATAAAATCTTTATAAATAAGCAACATTTTTAAAATGAAATTGACTTCATAGCTAATGCTACGAAGTATCTGACTATGAGATACCCTGAACTGTGCGAAGAGCTCCTATTTAAATCTAGCCCGATTCCAGTCTTCCAGTCTACTATACTTCTTCACTCTTCTGTTCATTTCCAATGAGTTCAGAGCAGAATAATTGAGACGAAATATACCCATAATTGTAGCTGATCAACTATTGCAACTGGTAGTCTCGACCAACTCAAACTAATTTAGCTTTTTTACACATAACAAAAATGAAGTAAGAAATAAATAAATTAATAATAATTTATTTTTATATTTATTTATATTTTTTTGTTAGTTCAATTACATTTTAAATATTTATAAAAAAAACAATGACAATAAATATTTATAATAAATAAGAACATTTTCATTTCAATAATCAACATAAGCTCAACATTTAATACATTTTATTATTATTTTTTAATTGTTTCACTTACTTTGTAAAAGGATTAAAAAAATAAGTTTTCTAATTATTTTGTTGAATTTCGTATTTTTTGCTTAATTTCTCTTCAACTTTTTAAAAGGCGTTGCCACGCCTGAAGCACGAGTTGAAAGCCTGCTGAAAGTTCAAATTTAATATTAGCAAAAGAACAATGGAACCATTAAATGCTTATCAACTATTAAAGCTCTAAATAATCAATATACAATGGGATTTACTATTAGAGCATAAATTTCAAATAAATGAATAATTAATTAAGAAAATTTGCTAGGTGAAAATCTATTTTGCTTTTGGCATTGATTTTGGGCTGTGACCTTTAATTGAATTCGAATTAAAAGCGACTGTCAAATAATATGCAAAATGAGGTCAAAATGCGGCTGGAATTGGAAATATGGAAATAGGAATTGACTGAAATGGTTGAAGGCAGTGCGAAGCGTTTAACGCAGCGTTCGAACTTAATTTGGTCAACCAGCAGGCTAACCACCCAACCACCCAACCACACGCACACACACACACACAGCTGGCAATTAGTGTTGTGGGTGCGGTTTCAGTTTCAGTTTCAGCTCGACTGCTCTTATCTTTCCGCTCGCAGTTGACGTTGTTATTGTTGTTGTTGACACAGCTTTTCGCTTATTGTTGTTGATAGCTTTGATGGGTGGCGGAGAGAGCTAGAGGAGATCAGTGCAAGCGACCCATGTGGACACACAAATCGTCCCAGTCATAACGCTAACCGCTCAATAAATTTGTTTGCCAAAAGTATGTTGCGAAAATAACTGGGCGCCCATTTGCCCCAGTAACAAATGGACCAGGGTCAACCTAGAGCCCAAAGCTCGTAAGAAATATTATAACAGCAGCAGTAGCACGCCGAGCCAAATTAATATACAGCCATAAACTGAGCATAAACCTTCATAATAAACTTACCGACTTGCCGAGCGCTTTGCAGCCATAAAATAAGTAGCCATAAGTATGACACACTAACTGCCAGAAATTTATATATATATAGACATATACATAGTAAACTTCTCAATTTATGATGCCTTTTTATGTCCTCCCTATTCAGTTGATGTGTGCAAAAACAAAACTTGCTTCAAATCAAAAAGGCAAACAGCAGCATTTTGTGAATTTCTATTTTTGGCTGAAACTATTTTTTTATGTGCTCCAGGTTTTGTTGATGGTTTTTGAAGGGCATAAGGCTTAGGGGAAATCGTCATATTTTAGGCACTTTTTTGCTGTGCTCTGTTTGAGGAACAGAGACAGGCTATTTAGTGTTCTCCAACATTACTTTTTTTACTGCTAAAGGTGAACCAAGTTGTTTTTTTATTGGAAAACCCACATTAAAAATTTAATTTTCGGAAGATTTATAATCACTTGGCTTTAGCTTAAATGCTAGAAAGCTGCAATAACTTTTAGTACTATACTTAAACTAAGTTTCTGATATACATAAATCATTTAGTATGTTTCATGTAAAATGAAATTTTAAACTCGAAAATCTCAACTTTAAAATTTCAATTTACTTGCTATTTTAGTACATTTTCTATAAATATATATAGCTTACCTGTTGTATTTAATGTGTGCTCCATGTTGACTTCATGTTGTTGACAAAATACTTTGAAGTGTGAAGTTTTATATGTGGATGAAGTTGATGTCACTTATAAGTTCCTTCATGGTCATTTGAGCACTGTGCAATATTTTTTCAAATATTTCTTCTTATGAATTTTAATAGTTTGGTGATGAAAAGGCCTGAAGCAATGTGTATATTTATGGTATAGATGACTGTGTAAAATCGTCTGATATTTTTGTATTTGTTTTTGTTTTTGTTTGTTTTATTTTTAGATGCTCGATATGTACTTTGCTGCGCAGTCTCTAGAAGAACAAGCACACAAAATACTTTTGAGATATAGACACATATTAAATATTTTAGCTTTACTCGGCTTTAACCAGCTCATGTTGACAGCAATCGGGGTAATCGGCATTGGGATTCCTCGCTTTGCCAAACTTAAAGCCTGGGGGTGGAGCTTCAACGCCGCAACTGTAAAATATATCTATTAATTTGGAATTCTTTGAAGCTAATCTGAGAGATTTGACATACGTGTGGATTTCTGCCATGCTGCCGCTTGCACATATAATGCGTGCACAGTCCATTTTCGGATATTTGGCATATTCGCCCGGACTCAGGATGACATTTTCCGACACATAACACTTGCCGGGATGTTTGGCATCCTTGAAGATGCCACGTGCCACAGCGGCCTCGGTGGGGGCCAGCAACAGCGCCGCCAGCAGCAGCGTCAACAAAATTCCGCTCACAAATTGATTCATCTTAACGTTTTGCACTCAAAAATCGTACTGATTCAGCTAGAGCGACCGAGTGGCAGCCGGCTTTTGTGGGGCATCGCCTCACATCGTGTGGGTCAAACAGGTTTCCGATTGCGTCAGTGCATAGTGGGTGCAATATACATATAAATGAGGTTTTTATTTACTTAATAGATATGTGGGAATATGAAAATAGCATGCTAAATAAAAAATTTAAATAATTAATTAAAGTGAGCATTTTACGATAGATGTTTTCAAAAGAATATTAATTTAATTAAAATAAAGATAAATAAAAAAATAACAAATATATGGCGAAATAAACATAGGTTAATTTATTTATTTTAAGAATTAAATAAATTTTTTCTGAAATTTCTTAGGCTTATTTAAGCGCGTGCCTTGTGAACATTGTAATATTTATATTATTTATTTGCACATTTTAAAAAAATACTGAAATACAAATATATTTAATTTGTTTTTTTTTTTAATTTTAATTTTATTTTCAATATTTTTTATATCGCTAAATTTTTTAGTATTTTTTTAAGTATTTAAACCTTCTTTTAATTCTGATTGCTAAAATTAGTTTTCTTAATACTATGTATTTAATTTTGTATTAAATATATACTTCTTTGAACAGTTTATATATAGTTTTGAATACATTTTTTTAAATATTCTGTTATATAAAACAAATTTAAAAAATATTTTATTTTTATGCTTAACCCACTATTATGTTTAGGTCTTTCCTTACTTTTTTTAGAATTTGGCATTATATATTTTTAAAAACATTTTTAACATTAGTACATTTCTAATATTAAATATATATTTTGAATTATTTTAATTTACATAATTTCTTGCCATTTTGTTCCACGATGTTTAGTTTATAAATAAATCTTGCAGATAAGTACTTTTTGCCCCGCACTGACTTTGCTCTTTGACAAAATTATTAACAAAATATATAAAATATATAATTCAATTTATTTTTATTAAATTATGTTTTTACTTTCGCGTTATTTCAAACATTTCTATTCTATCTTTACATATGATTACAAACAGCATCGTTTTTCGACATACGCTCTAAGCTGGATTGAACTTTAAATACTAGAGGTTATCACTTATTAATTTTTTGATTGCAAAGAATTGTTGAACAATCAGAACAGGCCGAAACATGTTAATTAGCTAACAATTAACTTGATGATTTTAATCACACACCATGTGACGCTTGCAGCAATCGGGGTAGTCCGCTTCCCAGTCCTTGAAACTTGTGTAGCGACAGCCATACGCTGGGCGCATGTAATCGCAACTGCAAGAGCATAAGAATTATTTAATGTTAAAATATATTATAAATGATATTGGTTTAACAAGTACGTTTCTAGCATGCCCCAACCATCTCCAATGCAATAGATCTGTGTGCAGGGCAGCGAATCCAGCTTAACAGACTCCCCAAATTTGAGCATCACTACGGAACTGCCCATATCCACAACACAACGACCCGGATACACTAAAGAGAGGAATAAGATGAAAATATAATATATGAAGGCTAAGGATAGAAGAGAGATAATAAATGAAATAAGACTAGGAAAATAGAAGAGAATATATTATAGACGAATTGAATGGTATTTAGTAGGATTGAAGAGAGTAAATATGAATAGAAGAGATATATAATATATCAATTGAGTTTTAGGTCAAACTAGTCAGGCAGTGTGGGAATTAGAAGAGAATAGATTCAGCACTCAAGAAAGTTCTAGGAGACTAGAAAAGAATATATTGTGTTAGCCTAGAAAGACATTCAATAGGTTTAGAAGTTGATATAAATAGAAGAATCTTTTATATAAGATAACCGCAAGTTCTGGGATATTATTATAGGCTATCAAAATTGGTATACCAAAGTGATTTGTAGAGAAATATAATTGTTAATTTTACACACGATTGCTACATATATATATATATATATAAATATACATGCATTAATATTTAACCATATAAATACAATTCACATATATCTAAAGTTCCAGTACTCACCGCTATTTCCATAGTTGTTTAATGCATTCAGGCCCAAGGTCTGAGTGATGCACGCGGCAAATAAAAGAATGACTACGGCCTTGACAAGATACATTTGAATAATATTAATATAATAATAATAATATTGTTTATTGAACGTGTGATGAATGTGAATATATATAAATTGTGATACAACTAAAATTTACTGCACAGTTTGCTTCAATGTCGTTTGTGAGTTCAAAATTTCAATCACAAATGATTTTACGTTCACAGCAAAGCGGATAGGGCTGATCGACATTGATGTAGTCACCAAAGCGACAGCCAGGTAAAAATCCACTAATGACGCCACAACTATATAAACAGATTTAGCTAAAGATCAGTTACCAAATCGAAGCTGTAGCTGTACCTTTGGAATATTGTCGAGCCATTGAACCCGCAGATAATCTGCCGACACTCATGATTGGGATCCTTGACGCTAACACCCTCTTTTAAGATCAGGTACTGTTCAATGACGCATTTGCCTGGATGATCTGCAGTCGATGGGTATTACGAACCGCTATGTGCTATGTGCATATATATATACCCACTCGTGTCCCGGTATAAGCCCACCCATTCGGCGGCTTCAATGCCGTGTGTCAAATGTGTGATGAATAGAAATAACACAATTATTGGCAAATGCATTTTTGGCACTTTTTTGTTACAGGTAAAATTTATGCGGTAACTTTGCAATGACAACTTCGTATAAATTATACTAATTTTGATAAGAAATAAATTGAAGAATAAACAAATTCTCAAACAATTGACCCATTCGAAAGTTTAAAATGTTTGATAGTCAACAAACTGCACTCTAGATTTGAATGAGTTCGATTTGGTTAGGGGCTAAAGTTATGTTTGGTTAGACTACGCGTTGAGATAGGCCGAAGTGCGGTTAGATTAGGGAAGGCTAATGTAAGGTTTGTCTAAAGTTAGTGTAGGTTCGATAAAGCGAATTAAGACTCATGTTAGGCTTAGTTAAAGTTAGTCAGTAAGGCCTAAATATAGCGTTTTGCTTAAATTGTTTTTTGCTAAAGTTAAGGTAAGGTAAGCTAAGATAGGTTGAGATTTGATTAAAGTTAGTTTGGTACTTGTTGGGCTATGTTAGACTTATGTGAAGCTCAGGTTATCTTAGATTACATTGCGTCAAGTTATGCTAGCTTCCATTGGGCTTGGTGATGGGGAAAGCCTTATTTACTAATAAGATGTATCTCTTACATAGAGAATCACTTTGGTACCAATACGCAATAGGTACATTTAGCAATCGTTTGTAGGTACATTAAGAAATATTCCTTGGAACGTCTTTTCTACAAATTATTCTGGTTTTTATTGACTTCAACTAGCGACGTAGAATTTATATTTTATTTTCTGAAAACAATCTTAAACTAAGCCGAAATAAATTAATAGAATTCAGTTTCCACCGAATTGCATTTAATACGGCGTGGACAACAATCTGGATAGGAAGCATTTATATTGATGTAGTCACCGAATTCACAGTCCTTGGGCGGATATTGTGTTCTACAACTGTGTAGAAGTAAAGATATCAATGAATTATTACAGTAAATTGCTTAAGTGGAGGCACTACTTACGTATAGACCAAAGCCCAGCTGTTGCGGCCGCAGTAGATCTCAGCGCATTTGCCAGGGTAACGAACGGTCTCCTCGCTGTTGATCACCAAACGCGTGCCATTTGGCGGATTGATGACGCACTTGTTGGGATATTCTGAAAGATTCATTTAGCTCTGTTATATATTTAGTTAGCTAATGTCTGGACTAACCCTCATGCTTGAATATAGCATGATATGCTTCCGATTTCATGGCGTATACGTTATGCATCATCAAAGCCAGAGCCAGCATCGAGAGGGCAATCAGCGACGACATTTTCTTTTTTTTTTTGTTGCTTGTGTTTCGAATCGAGAGTGAACGAATGAGTGTCTCTGTGTTATTCAGGAAATTTTACTTGGGAGATTCAATTTACTTGTTGTTGGATATTAACGAAGTGTTTGTCTGTGTGTGTGTGTGTGTTAAATTTGTATGGCCTGCTTTGATGCCTGCTGTCTGCTGCCTGCTGTCGATTTTGTATGCACATTTTAATTAAAAGCATCAGCAGCTATTGCCGCCGCAGATACATTTATAGATGCAGATGCACAGCTATAGATACACAGATACATTTATCGAATATGTTAATCCCGTTATGTGCACTCTGTGTCTGTGTGTACACAGATGTTGTCGTTGTCGTTGTCGTTGTCGTTGCCTTTGCATAATTCGATTAAACAACGTTGACGCCCCCAGTTGCCCCCTCGCCTGCGCTCCCTCCCTCCCTCTTCTCCCTCTCTCTTGACAGCGCCCTCAATGCAAATATTTGTGTGTGCGTGTATGTGTGTGTCGGATTTTGATTGCTGCTGTTGGCCCGACCTCAGCGCCTCGCCCCTTCGCTGTCTGCAATTATTTAGCTACCCAAATGTAGACAAATTAGTGGCCATATAATTGATGCAATTGTGTGTGTGTGTGTGTGAGTGTGTGTTTGTTTGTGTGTTGTTGTTATTGAGTGTTTAGTTGTGTTGAGCCAAGTAAATGTAAATCCATTGCTGATGTTTTTGTTTTAGCTGCCAACGTTGCTACCCTTGTGTCTCCTCTCTCTCCCCCTTTCTCTCTCTCTGTCACTTCTCTGCTACGCTTCTCTCTACTCTTGGAACTTGATTACATTTGGCCATGCTGGCAATTAGGCAAGCGGCCTTCAGTGTTTGCCAGCTGAAATTAATTGAATCGAGTGGCCTCAGCTGAGATTCAAATATGCAATTCCCCATTTTCAAGATGGGCAAAGGTTTCTTTTTGCTGCGCTTTAGCCACATTGTTTCACATTGTTTGCTTCAAACAAATAGTTTTTTAGGGAGGAAATAATATAGAAAATGAAAAATAAAGCGACATACGTGTCGGATAGTTAAAAGGCGTGAAATCAAACAAAAATTAATATATTTTTAATTTCTTTGAAGTTTAAAGTGCCACAAAATATTTGTAAAAAAATACTATAAAAATAATACACATTTTTTTATTTTATTTCGACACATGAATATTTTCAACTTATGAAAGAGTAAGTAATATAATTCAAAATAGGTTTTAAATGAAACATATATTTATCTTATTAAATAAAAAAACTTATAAGTAATTTTAAATATTTAATAATATAACAATATATAAATTTTTAAATTTATAAAATAATTTAAAACTATTTACAAGTACAGAATAAATTAAATTAATTAAACTAAGAACTTTATTATATATATAAAAAATATATTTATATAAAATATATATTTCTAAATTTTATTTGCAAAATATATAAAATCTTTATTTAAAATGTATTTTAATTAAAGGTAATCAAAAATATAGTATAAAATATTTATATTAAATCAAAAAGAAATAATATTATAAAAATTATTACTCTATTAAATATTTAACAGGTTCGCCTTGAATTATTTATTAGCACATAAAATGCTTCAATAACTTTCTATCGTTTTGTTTTTTAATTAATGAATCGATTTTTTAGAAATTCACTTAAAACGTTGGCTAAGGCAACAAATATTAAGCGATTAAATCAACCAAATAAACCCAATAGAAATATATGAATATATATATATAATGGCAGAAACATAGTCTCTGGGATGTAGTATACTGTAGGAGATAGCCATAAGTTTTTGGGGCCGCCTATGGAGAGGCATAAATTGACGCTGGATCGATACGCAAAAGGTGCAGATGCCTAGATATAAACATATAAACAAAATTCTATTCGATTTGCATATATAAGCAATCAACACGTAAACGCAGCATAAATAACAAATTGCCACGCACGGGGATATTGCGGGTGGGCGGGTTGCGTCCAAGGGTGACGGCAGATTTGGGGTCGGTTAAGGGTCAACCGACAGGCAACGGTCAATGGCAACAGTTTTTTTCTTCTGCTTTTTGCTGCAAATGAATATTTTTTGTGGGCGTGACAGGCGAGCAAGCAAACAACATGGTTCCCAGGTGAATCAGATGTACATATATATATCTCAGATATATATATATAAGCTTTTAGCTGCCTGGCTGCCCAGGGCGTGCTGCTGTCTCGCTTGCTCTTCTTTCTCACATAAAACACACATAATTATAATTTCAATGATATTAGAGTTCATATCAAAGTGAATGAGAGACAGGCGAAATGTTTTATTTTTATTGCCATTTGTGTGTGTGTGGGTTTTTTTAGTGCTTGACCAAGAGCAGAGCTCAAATTTCATCTTCTCTCATTTATTTTCATTTTTTTTTTATTATTTTGCATTATATATGGGAACGTTTTTAATTTTAGTGACGCCAGAGCTGAACCCAAAGGCATTTAAAGTTCATATGAGCATACTTCTCTGTGTGTGTGTGTGGGTTGGAGTGTCATATATGTGTGTGCTTTTTGGGTCTTGCTCTTAAAGCACAACCAATTTAATTGCAATAGTGATATTATAAATATTTGTATGCAATCGAAACACGTTTTTATTTGTATTGTATCCATAGCTGAGCTGTTCACAAATAATATTTTAATTAATTTAATTATAATTTATTCGGAGTTTACAATCATTTATTTGTATTTACAAACGCTTTTTAAATCCATTAAAAATAATTTCAATTAATTGAAGGCAAAAAAATAACCTTATAAAGACATAAAAAAACCATGTGAATTGAGTTGTAAATTTATTTACATAGCGTATACGTAATATGCAATACACATTCCGTATGCGCAATAGCAACAATGTTTTCAGCATTCTTTTTATTATTATTATTATTATTATTACAACATATTTGTTTTTGCGTTTATAAAATATGCAATAGGAATTTGGTTCTTCAAATACTTGATAGACCGAAAAATAAACGAATGCCAATAAGAAACAACAGCAACAACAACAGCAGCAGCAGCAGCAGCAGCACAATAAAGTGCAGTAAACAAAATTTCTTTCGACCCAATGAGTTTTATGCTGCATAGCATGGACAGAGAGGGTGAAGCAAAGAGTAGAATGTAAGCGAAAATCCAATAAGTAAGCTGCACAGTGCAAGCGCTGCTCTCTCATACGCTCTCGCTCTCCCTCTGACTCTCTCCCTCTCGCTGCCTAGCCTCAGCTATCTATCTAAACTACTTGCTCGATATCTTTCCAGCCTACTCTTTCAGCTTTGTTTGGCTGCTTCCTCAGTTGCCTTCTAGTGCACTCAAAGTAACGGTACTGCCAGAGACAGCGCCAGCAGCAGCAGCAGCAACAACCACCTCCCGTTGACCTTCAAATACACAAATTGACTCAACGATTGTTGTTGTTGCGGTTTTTCTTTGTTGTTGTTGCATTTACTGTTGTTCGCTGTTATTTGCATTTGTAGTCTTCATTGTTGTTGCTGTTGCTAATCTAGCCTTATGACAGCGCCGCGGCGCTGCGTTATTCAAATTTGTTTTTGGCAAAATGCACATTTGTTAAATTTCCAACATGTTGTTTTCATTTTCATTCCTTTTCTTTATAGTTTCGGCTTCTGTTTTGTGTCAGTTACAACAACAGAAACTACAACAATAACAACATTTTCAATGGCAACAAATACAATTGGAATGCGCGTGGTCTTGAGTTAATTTGTTGCTTGTGTCTGCAATTGTTACAGAAATACTCGTAATTAACTAAATGTATAACAAAGTACGAGATTTTGGAGATAAAATATGCAACTTAAGTAATTTCAATCAAATAGAAATGGAATAAAATCATAAATAAGCATAAACACGGCTACAAAGCAATTGGAATCCAATTAGTTCTAATTAGCTTTTTACCACGTAGCAACGCCTAAAGCAAGCCAATTAGTCAAAGCATAAAACGAATTGAATTTTGTATCAAAACGAATTATATTGCAAATAAAGCCGTTTTTGTTTTTAATGATTATCATAATTATGAATTAGCAAAGTTTTGAGGGCTGTCCGGCTACATGGAATAAGTAAATAGCGCCCCAAGTCAAAGCTTTATTTGTATTCAAATTATGACTGGAAGATAAATGTTGATTTACAATATGTTAAAAATTATTTTGAAATTATGCTTTCTAAAAGTAACTTAAAAAATAAATAACAAATTACATGTAAAATTTCTGAATTGAATCTACATTTTTAGAGTGCATTGAAAGCGAACTAATGGCCTTTTGTTTCTGTTCTTAAATATTATAATTTTTGTTTATTATTATAATAATAAAAAAAACTTGAATTTAACTAATCCATATAAGTTTATTTTCTTTTTCTTGCAGGTGAGGCTAAGTGGCTTGATTTTCATATATGTTTTAGTGCTCTAGCATATTGAGCAGGTAAATTAATATTAATAAATTTATAATTAAATAATAGAAAAAAATATGTAATGAACTTAATCATTATTAATCATTATTAGCCATTAAGTAATAAATATAATTATAATACTAAAATTATTATCTATTTTTTCTATAATTTAATAATAATTTTAGTAAATATAATAATGTTATTATTTAAATAAAATAGAACTTAGTTATTATTGTACCTATTTTGCTATATAACAAATTCCTTACAAAGCTTAGCTAAACATAGATAAAGTTTTTATAATTTAATAAGAAAATAAATTAGATTTTTCTTATATTTTTTCGGTTTAAATATAATTCTAAATTTTTGTTTTTTTGTAACAATGCGAGTGAGCAGCTTATACATGTACGGGGCCTAAGGCATTCAAAGAAATCCGCATTAAACAAGCCCACGCGCTTATCCTTGGCATTTAAAGGTGCGCAGTGTTAATATTGTTGTTGCTCTTATTTGTTGTAGTTGTTATTTGTTGTTTGCCGTTGGTACGAAAAACCGCGCTTCTTGAATTATTTAAGACCCAAGTGCGCAGCGACCGCATCCGCCCCACCGCGCTCCGGCTCCATATGCCAGCCAGACGCCATCAAGGTACAAGGATAAAGACTGGGAGATAAAAGTGGCCGCAATGCATACTTTAAGGCGTCGACAGCGGCAGCAGCAGCAGCAGAGGCCGTGG